CTATTTCTCCTCCTTTTTATGGTTTTATACAGGGCCGGCCTTGGCCTTTGGGCGCCCTGTGCGAAAAATCTTCACAGCGCCCCCCTTTCCCGTTCGCCCTTCCCCTCACTACTCCCCCCCTCCACAGTTATACCATTTTTATAGTCTCCCTCTTGCCGAGCACCAGCGCTATACTTGTCAAAACTTTTACTTAGCAATATGGCCCATTCCCCACATTTCAGCAGATATAAATGCCTTTTATTTCTTCCCCATAGATCACCAATACCTAGTATTCTAGTGGGAGTTGGTCTTTGTACATATTTCAGGAGCACAGACTAACTCCCGAGCTTCCTCTGGAGTTTAGGATTGATTGACTGGAGAGGGTATATTCAAATATGATATCTCAGGAGTAGGTTTTTTATAGGAGTGTTGAACATTTTACCATTGATTTAAAGAGACTAAAGTGAATAAATTCTTGAAGTAGGATGGTGAAATTATATTTTGGAAGTTTCAAAATGCAAACAGTCTTTTATTTAAAGTACCGCTAAAATCAGTGGTCTGGATGCAGTGGTCCTGTAGCTTTAACCTGTTAATGTAAAACATTGTCGTTTTTACAATGTTTACATTAAATGGTTAAGCAAACCTCAAGTGGCTATCTTTGTGACAGCCATGAGCGATGCTTCTGTCTCCATAACCAAGTAAAACTTGGTAATGCAAAAAATGCTGGACGTGAGTTCTCATCCCCAACGCTTCTCTATATAAAACATTGAAATGGACGAGATCGCAGGTAAAGTCAGCTGGGATGCTGACATCAACAGAAGAAGTGGTCAGAAAAGTCCAAGTGTAAGTTAACTGTGTTTAGATCCCATTTTACAGAGGGATTTGGGCAGTGATCACACCAATAGAAGGGAACCTACAGTCCCCAAATAACATGTTATATTTGGGACTACATGTTCCATTTACATACACAATAGAAGCAATTCATAAACAAGAGCTAAGCAAGAGTTAGGGGAAAAGAGGAATGTATAGCGATGGACTGATTCAATGCATCTCATGCTCAATAGCCTCCCAATGCTATGGGAAAAAAATTGGATAGGCTGAGATCACTGGAAGAATCAATACTGAAGATGAAATATGAAAAAGTTCAATTAGCAGTGCTAATCTACCGACCTTCTCCTATCATTGAAGGGGACAGAAACTAGAATGCTGAATAAAAGTAGCTCTTGGTATTTATTCCTGACCAAATAGCTACTTTAAGTAAGAATAGTAGTTTTTACTGGCCATGTATCTATGCATTGTAGGCAATAAATCGAACTATGTGTAATCAAACAAACCCTATGTAACTTCATACATGTAAGTTTTAGAACCCCACTGTTTGTTACATTGTTAAAACTATTCTCTGGTATACTAATGTTCCTAGGAGCTTGTCATTGAGTTACAGCAGTGTAGGTCTTGGGGTCACATTCTTGTTGTCTGTGCGAAGATATGAGATATTTATCTCCTAGACTTTTTGTGTGACTACCCAGACATGCCAGCAATGAACATGTCCTTCCTGTTATTTTACTGCTATAATGTATTTTCCTGAGTAGCTGTCTTGCCCTTTGGAATTAAGTTCCACATACAGCTGTCCTATTGAAGTCACTGTGACTCTGTCACGGAATGTGTTGAGCAACTGTTTTGTCAAATGTAACTTCATAAAAAATATCTTGTTTAGTGGTGTAGCTTTAAATAATGTATCCTTTGATTAGTTTGTTGGCCATCCTACAATAGAGTTGTCTGAAGAACTACACAAAATGATTGTTCTATATGACACTAATTGCAGTTCTTGAGCATTCAGATTAGATGGCTAAAAGATTATTTAGAAGAAAATATCTCCAATAGCCATATATTTACAATTGATAACCGAGCATCATCAAGTATATCATGTTTATTACATTGATGATTCAAAGTGCCTGGTGATTTGTTATGCCTTTTTTGGACTTGTGCAAGGCAATACACTGACTATGTAAGTGTTCTTTTGATGGCATTATTGACAGCCTTTAACTGCAACCAAATCCATAAATAATAAATACAAATATAGGTCCCCATTATGCAATGTAATTGCTTTGATCTCTAGGCATGTGCATGGGGAAAATTTTCGGTTCGGTTCGGCATTCCGAAACTCGGGACTTTCACAATTTGGAACTTCGGCAATTCGGCACTTCAACACTTTGGCACCTTTGGAACTTCGACACTTCGGATATTCGGCAACTTCGTCACTTCGTCACTTCGACACTTCGGAACTTTGGAATTTCAAACTTCGGCATATCGGAATTTCGGGACTTCAGCAATTCGGGACTTCTTTTGCAGCCGCTTAGTAGATAACCCCCTAATTTCCACGGTATTAGGGAGTTATCTATCAAAAGGCTGAAAGACCTAAATTGGTCTTTCAGCCAAATTTACTAATACTAAGCAAAAATGACTTAGTATTAGTAAATTTTGCCCCTACTTGCTATACCCCCTCCCGAGCCCCCACCCTAATCGCAACGAGTGGGGGCTTTTAAACTAAAGGGGGGACCTATTGCCCCCCTGGTCCTCACCCCTGAGCGGCGGGTGGGGGCCCTACAGTAAAATAAGGGGGGACCTAATGTCCTCCTCCCTGGCCCCCATCCCTGAGCGGCGGGTGGGGGCCCTAAATACTAATTAGGGGGGGACCTAATATCCTTCCACCTGGCCCCCACCCCTGAGCGGTGGATGGGGGCCATAAATACTAATAAGGGGTGGGACCTAAAGTCCTTCTGTGTCATTTTACACAGCGTGGGAAAGTTCTTTGGAATTTTCCCACGCTGTGTAATTTGACTCATAACACTCTGATTGGTGGATTAAGTAACAAATCAGAGAGTTATGAGTCAAATTACACAGCATGGGAAAATTCCAAAGAACTTTCCCACCCTGTGTAAAATGACACAGAGCACTCTTATTGGTGGATTTCAAACCAACTAATCAGAGTGCTGTGACAGGTAAATGTAGAGACTTTATAAGCCTTTCCCCGCCCTGCAGAGCTCAGTCTGCGCGGAGCCCTCACCGGGTGAAGATGGATTTTTTTTTGCGCTTGTTTTTTTAATTTTTTTATTGCGTCGGTTATTATGGATTTTTTTTTTACCTTTTTTGGGGCTGGAAAAAGAAGATATTAGAAAACATTGAATGGTGAGTTTTATTTTATTTACAGGTACTTAGTTCAAGGTCCCCCCCTCATTATTTTTAGGGTGAAGGGGGTAGGTAGGGGGTTAATTTTTTTTAATGTTACCTCCCCTCCAGGTGACTAGGGGTCCCCCCCAGGTGACCCCTAGTCACCTGGGGGGGAGGTAACATTTTTTTTAGGGCCCCCACCCGCCGCTCAGGGGAGGACATTATTAGTATTTAGGGCCCCCACCGACTGCTCAGGGGTGGGGGCCAGGGGGTGGACATTAGGTCCCCCCCTTATTCCAATTTAGGGCCCCCATCTGCTGCTCAGGGGTGGGGGCCAGGGGGGAGGACATTAGGTCCCCCCTTATTAGTATTTAGGGCCCCCACCCACCACTCAGGGGTAGGGGCCAGGGGGAGGATGTTAGGTCCCTCCTTATTTGACTCAGGGGTGGGGGCCAGGGGGAGGACATTAGGTCCCCCCCCTATTCCAATTTAGAGCCCCCACATGCCGCTCAGGGGTGGGGGCCAGGGGGGAGGACACTAGGTCCCCCTTATTAGTATTTAGGGCCCCCACCCACCACTCAGGGGTGAGGGCCCGGGTGGGGGAGGCATAGAGGCCTTTCTTTTTTTAACAGTGAGCTCACTGTTAATAGACATGCCCCTACTCGCGGTATAGCGAGTAGGGGAATAATTTACTAATACTAAGTAATCTTTACTTAGTATTAGTAAATTTGGCTGAAAGACCAATTTAGGTCTTTCAGCCTTTTAGTAGATAGCTCCCTAATACCATGGGAATTAGGGAGTTATCTACTTATTCATTCCTGTCATTACATTCATTTTATGAATGTGTGTTACTTGATTGTTGTAAGTGTTGCAAATGCTTACAGCTGAATCCTGGCTATGTTTGTATACTTTTTATTTAAAATTGTATACAATGTAACATTCTTCTTCTTTCACTGGGTAAGTATATTAGTACTTAGGCAATACTGTGCTTCGGAACTTCGGCACTTTGACACTTCGGAATTTCGGCAACTTCAGCACTTCAATACTTCGGAAATTCAGTAATTTCGGAACTTCGGGACCTCGGCAATTTGGCACTTCAGACATTCGGAAGTACCCGATTGTCCGAATTCCCTGAAATTCGTCCGAATTCATATTCAGACCGAAATGAATTGCACATGTCTATTGAACTCTGCATATGTACCAGTGGCCACATATCTCATAACAAACTGATGTAATAAACCATATGAAATGACAATACCTGTCACAATACAATTCTGTATACGTTGTAGGTATCTCTTAGATTTTTCTATATCCACAAATGTAAATTTGTAGAGTATCTACAGAAACTCTATCCCCTTCACCGACTCCCCAGATGTTAATGTCCTACAACTCACCTTCTACCTCCGCCGGTTCATGGGAGTTCTAGTTCAGCAACATCTGGATAGTTGAAGGATATCTGGAGGAGTTTGATATGGATGACCAATAGTGTTAAAAAGGTACAGGCTGGCAATTATTAACTGTGAGGTCCAGCAACCATCTCTTCAACCAATCACTGATGATGATTGGCTTGGGCCCCCTTTTTGTCTAACAGTGCACTCACCTAGCCTAATGTCACAGAGATGTCTGTAAATCAACATGCTGTGATATGTTAATATTACAGCAGTCGGACATCAGGTTTATGTTAATTTGTGGTTATATGTGGTTACATGTGATTCTAAGAAGAAGAAGCTTAAAAGGTAAAATGAATGTTTAATATCAATTTAAATGAGCTATTCCTGGCACTTAACTAAGTATTTCCATTCCTCCAGATACTTCAATAAATTGCACTGAAAGTGACGTTCATTTGCCAAGAATTGTGTTTATCAGAATTATTTTATTAGCATTTTTTGAAAAACATTTTCCATGTAACAATATCTGCTATGATTGAACAGACATATCAATCAATGTTACAGCGTTATATACAATGCAGCTAAAACACAGTATGTCAGTGGTATTCCTTAAGTAAAATCCCAAACTTAGAGGACAATAATTTTATTGAATTATCCTGAAACTAATTGCATTATGGAACCAATCCTTCACAATATATTTTTGGTAACTATTAGTAGCTATTTAATTGTCTTGATATTTTCCACCAACATCTTTACCACATTTTAGCTCATTTATACCTTAAAGAACATCCACTACAGTCTTTTAAAGTCCTTTTTGGATTACTCCAATAAAACTCCTACATGTAAATGCACCTGTGTGTTTTAACAAAGAGAGTAATAACTTAAACCTGGAAATGCATTTATGAGAGTAACAGGTTGCACAATGAAAGTTGGCCCATTACAAATTTTAGAAAACAAAAGTGAGAATGGGGAAGAGAAAAATAACAGCTGTAACAACCGCTTCTAGAGCATTCCGTAAAGTCATAATGGGGATGTATTCCAAGAATCTGAAGATCCTCCTGCAATGTGCTATAAACATCATCAACAGCTTATTTACTTCCTCAATTTTCTAGTAACAGCCAAGCGAACATGTTAAGTAAACTCCACTGAAAGGATTGCGATTAGTAAAACCGGTCAGAATTAAAGACCTTACTTTGGTAGTGTTCACTATAGATTTCTGAAAAAAAAATGTACATATTTGCTTGTATGTTTCCTTTTCTGTATGCATGTATATTACTTTAAATGTTGAGTTTTCCCTCCCTTGCTGACTTGGGCAAAATAATTAACTTAATGAAACAGACAGAAAGACAATCAAGACACGTTTCCTGGTGTGGTTCAACTTTAAAATGTGCATTTTAATTTGTTAGAAAAAGAAACAAAATTGTAACAATGAGGGCAAAATCTAGCTTTCTATTATAAATACATAGGACAAGTCAATGCAACTGACAAATTGTACTGTGCTTAAACTTCAGCAGAATAGCCATGAGTGATACAATGTGTGCTTCATGCTCAATGCCAAATTTAGTTATGTAGTTAGTTCATATTGATGTCAAGTACCAAATGTTATGTCAAAACATTATAAAATAGAATGTTCATTGTTTTCAGATTATGCTTTATCACAGCTCTGTTATCTTGGAGTTTACTGTGCATTTAATAAATCATTCCTAAAATTCTCAATTTTGCTCCAGATTATAAGCGATACATGCTGAACAAGTGTTGGCATCATACAATCAAAAGAACTTGGGACATATTACAGATACCACTTGGCCTAATTCTATCATTACACTATACATTTGTAAATTTTCTTAGATATGCTTGCCCTTTGCATGACAATATACTGTACACCTACATATAAAAGTGCACACACACATATACACACACTCACATGCATACTAATATATATATATATATATATATATATGCATTCATATTCTTAGATAATTATTTTAAGAGATATTTATCATAAAGTAAACAGAACTGATAAAATGCCCTGTAATGTTTGCTTACATTATATGCTTTATTTAATGATACCTCAAAAAAGAGTATAGTTGCATTGCATAGATAACATGTTGCACATTGCAGCTTCAGGTTACATTATTTTATGTAATGTGTATCTACAGTACTTCATGTAGCAATATGTTCTTTGACCGGCACAGAACCCATTACACCACAATCTCTGCATAATGAAATAGTTAAAATAAACATTTAAAGGAATACTATAGGCAACCAGAACACTTCTTCGTAATGAAAAATTCTGTTATTTCAGTTAGATGGTCGTAGCAGACAATCTGTTTGGTGCAGGGCAGTGTTTTGCCATGCATTCGCACTAGACTCCCAATGCTTCCCTATTGGAAAGCATTGGATTGGCTGAGATAATCAACATTGATGATCTCAACCAAAGAAGTAGAGCTTGAGCATGGAGACCGGTGGGGTGAAGGAGAAAAAGTAAATAAATCACCTTTATTAACCTGACAGAGAAGGCCGTTTAAATGTTTTAAAAACAAACTGATGTGGGCAATGAGAGATGTACGAATCCACACATAGAAGGTTACTACCTTCTATGTGTGGATTCGTACATCTCTCATTAATCTCAGCCAAGTGCTTGAGGACTTTTGAAGTCAGGCTAGTAAAAGCTGCCAGAGATATGACTCACAAGTATATTGTTTCACCAACTAAACCAACAAAAACACAAAAGGTTTATTTAAAATATACACAAAGGGAAATAACTGCACATTTTAATTACACAGTTTTATTTAGAGATTACCATGATGTAAAAAAAAATAATCATAATTTTCTGACATTTTCTTGTTGCATTTCTTTTGTCTTTACATGTCAGAATTAACCATAGAGAATAGGTAGCTAGTCTGCATGTTTTTAACTGTAGCTATGTATATAGCTGTAGCAAACGATGTATTTCTAACATGGGGACTGATTTGCATCTTAGGTATCAGAAGCATAAATATCATCATGCGGGTTTAACGAAACCCTTTGGCTTCCTGGTCCTTCTAGTCTCGCTATCCTGTGATCTGATTTTACTTCAGATACATGTTATCCAGCTGAAGTGGTAGAGGTTAACACAGTAAAGGAGTTTAAGCATGCATGGGATAGGCATAAGGCTATCCTAACTATAAGATAAGGCTAGGGACTAATGAAAGTTTTTAGAAAATTGGGCAGACTAGATGGGCCGAATGGTTCTTATCTGCCGTCACATTCTATGTTTCTATGTTTCTATGTTTCTATGTCACTAAAAGGGTGCAATGACGGCAGTCTTGAGATAATGACAATAAATGCAGAGAAAATAGATAATCCATGGCTCATCCCTAAGGTGCTTAATAATACTTTATAGGTGCCTCAAATCACAGCAAGATTTCCAATAAGTTATGGCCACGGCCATTCGAATTGGTCAAAACATTACTGTGATTGAAGGCTCTAGTGAAGTGACCATTTATTTACCCTTGTAAAATTTTAGGTATGTTATCCTGATGAACTAAAACAACAAAAACAAACCTCGTTGAACATTCCACCACAGTCCCACTCAATCCACACAAATAAAATATGTCCTTATTTAGCTTTAGTTAGAAGATTATTGCCAGAAAAAAGTAAAAAATATACATACTTTGGAATGGGAAGCACTTACCATCTAAGTACATTTATAGGATTATAAAATCATAGTAGAATTATAACAAACACTGCAACAGCAATATTCTGGACATTCCGATCCCCTAACAAGCCCACCAATTAAGTCAAGTGGAATAACCGGACCAGCTCTTTATCATCACAGCTTTTGTATAATAGTTTCTCATCCAGTTATGAGTAATTGTGAGCTTAGCAATAGCCTAGGCATTAACAAGCATGTGACATGCTAACACTGGTAATAGGAAAATCCAACATACAGGTGGCTGGTTTACCTACAGTCTAAAAATACTTCACCGTATAGTAGCCTGGAAAGATACTCAAAATGCCATGTCATCAAACAAATGAAATACATGAGCCAAGGCATAATCAGCTGTTGTTGCAGGCCAGTTCAAACATATTATGCTAGCCCCCGTCTTTTAATGTATAATATTTAATGGAATGTTAACTTTTTGAAAAAGACAGAGGCCAGCTGATGGCATGTGAATGATACATGCTGCACTCCTATGGTCGGGAGCATGTGGAGAAAAAGGATTCTGGGATAAGCCCGGACTCAGAAGGGGAAGGCTTATTAGCATATTGCCTCTTTAATCAGTTGAGCCCAGTTGTTAACAGTCTGGTAATTATACCTCTGAATATTAAATCATGTTATATACACATTATTCTATAAAATATATATTGACCTCAGTTTAACATTTTTTAATAGGCTTTTCAAATGACAAGAATCTGTTGGAAAACTTTCCAAATGATTTATCTAAAGAAGTCACCCATAAAGTCCAAGGAGAGTTTCTTTAACAGATTTGAATCATTTGAAAAACATACCAAAAAATATAAAATCCAGGCCATTATCGGATATTTGGTTGTAATTATGAATTTTAAAGTGTTTTACATGTAATGCAAAATGATTTAGTCATAACAAATCACAGTACCGTTCTAGATGAGTACCGTATAATTGTTATCAATACCCTATTGAGCAAAAAATAAATATTTACAGTCTTATAAGATAGAACAACTTTTTGACTGCGTTGCTGGTTCACCCACTGGGACATTTCCACCATTTTCTTTTCCTGTAACAGCTGGACCTAAAAAAAAAAAAAAAAAAAAAATAGAGGGGAAATATATTAGTGATGCATTAAGGAATTTTGGACATAACAAAAAAAAAAAAAAGACTTAAATATAACAGTTATCATCTAATAAAATGGGAAATTAATGGTCAAATTAATAGTCCGTAAAATCTATCTTAATACTGATTCTTCCCTTTCAAGAAAACTTGAGCCTGCTATATTTCATTACTTACTATACTTTTATTGATGGGGAAGTAATCCAAGAAATGTGGATCTACCCCAGGACTAGTTCTAGAATTATTAGAAATTCAACAGCCTAGAGGTGCTTCTAAAATGGCAGCCTTCTATCTCAGGGAAACTCTTGCTGGATGTGAACAACAACATTCATTGCAAAAGAGATCTACACCACACATCCTTTTTTGAGAAATGTGAAACACCAAGCATAAAATGTGACGTCAAAGTCTTCGTTAAGAATATTTGTTCCCTATGACATTCCATTCTATCTGTAGTCTGAGAAGGAATGTACATTGTATAGAGCAAAGACTGTGCTGGAGAGATCTCTTATACAGGCACAAATTGCCTCAATTACTACTACACAATTACAGTTGCTACATGATCAAACTGACACAAAAGTTGGTAGAATAGTAAGCCATGGGATGATGGAAAAATATGAAAATTAGAGGCATTCCTGAAAAGAGGGCTGCGAGGGAGTGCCCAGTTTTTGTTCAAAATCGTCAAAACGGATTGACAAAAACAAACAAGCAAACTAAGAAACAAAACATAGAGAATGGAACTGAAAGACCTATAACAACAGGACCTCTCCAATATGAGAAACATAGAATGTGACGGCAGATAAGAATCCATCTAGTCTGCCCAATTTTCTAAAAAAACTTTCATTAGTTTCTTATATCTAAGATAGCCTTATGTTTATCCCACGCATGCTTAAACTCCTTCACTGTATTAACCTCTACCCCTTCAGCTGGAAGGCTATTCCATGCATCCACTACCCTCTCAGTAAAGTAATACTTCCTGATATTATTTTTAAACCTTTGCCCCTCTAATTTAAGACTATGTCCTCTTGTTGTGGTAGTTTTTCTTCTTTTAAATATGAGAGCACATTTACTATTCCAGCGTAACAAATAATATGCACAGGGAGATGAAATATGCCTTTCCTTACCTGCTTTTTGTGGCTGAATACCCTCTTTCTTTTGCCTCTCCTCCTCCAAAGCTTTCATTTTTGCTTCATACTCATCGGCCAAAGCTTTCCATTCTTTCTTGTTATTTAAAATCCTGTCATACATTGGCTGGATCTCTGGATGAAATCGTGAGAACTCCTGGGCCAAATAAAAAAAAAGTGAAGACGTTATATGTGGAAACAATGTTTTTTTTTTCCTAGGTATTCCCAATTTCTTCTGTATTGGAAGTAGACTACAAATACTAGGCTTGATAATGCAGTGTGGCAAAAGAGTACTGTTAAAAAATTGTTTGTAGCATATGTACTGTATATAGTGCTTAACAAATTTGGAATTGACTGATATTCTTTAACAACCAATTGTTGTTTTACACGAATATGGCTCTGGTTAGTAGTACCCCTTCTTAGAATATTTCAGATTTCCGGTATCATTATTGTATGTTTACTATACACTGATCAGCCACATTAAAACCACCTGACTAATACAATGTAGGTCCCCCTCATGCTTCCAAAGCAGCTGTAATGCATCGAGGCACGGGCTCAACAAGACCTCTGAATGTGTCCTGTTGTATCTGGCACCAAGACATTAGCAGCAGGTCACTTAAGTCCAGCAAGTTGTGAGGTGGGACCTCCTTGAAACGGAATTGTTGTTCCAACACATGCCATAGATACTCAATCATACCGGGATCTGAGAAATTTTGAGACAAAGGTAACACTTTGAATTCTTTGTCATATTCCTCAAATCTTTCCTGAACAACTTTTGCAGTGTAGCAGGGTGCATTATCCTGCTGAAAGAGGCCACCAATATCTGGGAACACCATTGCCATACAGGGATTGTACATGGTCTGAAACAATCACTAGATAGGTGGTCAAAATAACATTCACAGGAATTCCATGACCCAAGGTTGCTCAGCAAAACATTGTCCAGAGCATAACATTGCTTCCGCTGGCCTGCCTTCTTCTCAAAGTGCCGTCATCTCTTTCCAAAATTAACACACATGGCCATTAACCTGATCTAAAAGAAAACAAGTTTCATCAGATCAGGTAACCTTCTTTCATTGTTCCATGGTCAAGTCCATGGCCCCCATTGAAGGTACTTTTGGCGATGGACAGGGGTCATCATGGGCACTCTGACTGGTCTGCAGCTAAACAGCAAACTACAATACACTGAATGTATTCATATAATCAATGTTATTAACTTCACTTGTCAGTGGTTTTATTGTTGTGGCTGATTGGTGTACCTTGTGATAGCACCTCTAATGAAAATAGGAAACTTCATGATTAACATTCCAAACGAAAACTAGATTTTTATGCCTAGTTACCATGATTTGTTAACAGATATGGTTATGTATGAAGTGTACATTTAATGGTTAGAGTTATTTAAAGTTAAAGGCTGATGCGACACACAAAACATAAAGAAACACTATTGCGTTATCAACACAAGTGTGTATTCTTAATGCTTAGAGGGACACTATAGACATCAGAAGAACTACAGCTTATTGTATTTGTTCTGGTGAGTAGAATCATTCCCTTCAAGCTTTTTCTGCAGTAAACACTGTCTTTTCAGAGAAAATGCTGTGTTTACATCACAGCCTAGGGATACCTCCACTGGCCACTCCTCAGATGGCTGCTAGGGGTGCATCCTGGGGCCGTGCTGCACAGTGCGACTGACATTCAGTGTCTCCACCCTCTGCATGGAGACCCTGAACTTTCCTCATAGATATGCATTGATTAAAGGAGATGCAGATTGGCCAGGGCTGTATTTCACTTGTGCTGGCTCTGCCCCTGATCTGCCTCCTTGACAGTCTCAGCCAATCCATTGATTGGCTTAGAACAACACTACTGATGATATCAGCCAATCAAGCAGATCAAGGGCAGTGCCAGCAGCAATAAGACTTTACTATATTTAGGGAAAATGGGGACCAGGGGTAGGTAATAGTATTTAACACTACAGTGTCAGGAATACAATTCCCGGTGGGCCGTCGGCACCTGGGGCCGGGGAGACATTTGGGTGATCTGCGGCCGCAGGGGGAGCTGGCTGTTCTGTCTCTGCTCCTCCGCCCTCGCGTGCTACTTAATTAGACCGGGGCCGGAATATGACGTCATATTCCAGCCCCGGTCTCATTAAGCTGCGCGCTGGTGAGCAGAGACAGAACAGCTAGCAACCCTTGCGGCCGCCATCCAAGCTCTCCCTGCGGCCGCCATTAGACCTCCCTGCATGCTGCACCAAGTATGTATGTCAGTCTGTCAGTGGGAGTGTATGTGTCATGGTGTGTGTGTGTGTATCTGTCTGTGTCATGGTGTGTGTGTGTGTGTGTGTCTGTCTGTTTAATGGTGTGTGTATGTGTGTGTGTCTGTCTGTCTGTGTCATGGTGTGTGTGTGTGTGTGTCTGTGTCATGGTGTGTGTGTGTGTTTGTCTGTGTCTGTCTGTGTCATGTAATGTGTGTCTGTCTGTGTCACAGTGTGTGTGTGTCTGTCACGGTGTGTCTGTATCATGGTGTGTGTGTCTGTCTGTGTCATGGTGTGTGTGTGTCTGTCTGTCATGGTGTGTGTGTCTGTCTGTGTCATGGTGTGTGTGTCTGTCTGTGTCATGTAATGTGTGTCTGTGTCATGGTGTGTGTGTGTCTGTGTCACGGTGTGTCTGTATCATGGCGTGTGTGTGTCTGTCTGTGTCATGGTGGGTGTGTGTCTGTCATGGTGTGTGTGTCTGTCTTGGTGTGTGTGTGTTTCTGCCATGGTATATGTATGTGTCATGGTGTGTGTGTGTGTCTGTCATGGTGTCTGTGCGTGTTTTTAAAAATAGTGTTTTTACTCACCTTTTTTTAAATAGTGTTTTTACTTACCTTTTTTTTTCTTCCCCCAATGTCGTGCTGGTCTCCCCTCAACTGGCCCTGCCTCTATGACTGAGATCATCAAGCTTGATGATCTCAGCCAATCCGCACTGACACAGGAAGCGCCTCTAGTGACTGTCTGAGTGTCTGTCACTAGAGGTGTCACTAGGAAGCAATGTAAACACTGTCTTTTCTCTGAAAAGTCAGTGTTTACATTGAAAAGCCTGTGTGCCTGCTAGTGAGTGAGCTTGTGTTTTTATGTCAATGAGCTTATGTATATCAGTGAGATTGTTTGTCTATGAGGCTGTGTATCAATGAGCTTGTATGTGTCAGTGAGATTGTCTGTGTCTGCATGTGAGTATGCTTACTGTATAATTAAATGTTTTACTCTGAAAGGACCAATATTTTATATTAGAAAAAGCAATATTACTCAATCATCTGTGGTGGCAAGACATAGCCTTACATATTACATGCGACAATATATGGCGCAATCACTTATGGGGCTGGCATAGATTTTTTTTTCCAGGTCTGCTTTGTATCCCCAGTCCAGCCCTGGTTCCTGATCCTATAGTGTTCCTTTAAGTGTTCTTGTCCCTTGGTCTGGTCTTAAAAAAGGTTTCAAATTAGATGTTTCACTTCACTTTTTCCAATGCCAAGGCTCCCTCAGTGCTGCTTACCTTTTCTCTTCCCACAGCATCATGTAAAAGACATGTCCTCCTCTGTAGTCAGCCCAATCCCATGCTTCGCACGTGCATCAAATTTCCGCATAGGAAAATATTGAACCAATACTTTCCTACAGGATTGCAGTCACATGACTGAGTTCTACTTAGTTATTGCATCAGTAAGCACTTTTAATGGCTGTCAGGAAGACAGCCACTGGAGGTGTGTTTAACTCTGCGATCTAAACATTGTAGTTTCTAAAAAAAATCTATGGAACCACTGCACTCAGGTCACTCCATCAGATGAAGCAGCCTGGATGACTTAAGTGGTATTTTAAGTTCGATATATTGTCACGGACCCCTTCTGCATGAAAATATGTAATTGTAAAAAACATCATATCAATTAACAAATGGTTACAATGCATTTGAGAATCTGACTTCTGTCACTAGATGGTACAATGTTAAAGGACAACTGTCACCTCAAATTTTTTTTTTATATAATATCAAGTTATGAAAGTTTTTTTTAATGAAGTACACCTAATAAAATAAGAAAAACCCATCCCTTCCTTTAGAATATGACATGATCCTTCAGTCATATGTATACACCTTTGGTCTCCATGATATTCCCTGCTTCACTCTATGCATAGAAGCAGGCAAGACTATAAAGACTGTCAGTTTTCAAACACTGTTTGACCCAAAGCAGCTCCAGGAATCCTGTCTAAAGGTAAGGATGGGTTTTCAATTTTTTTTTTTTTTTTTTTTTACATATACTTCATTTAAAAAAAAAAAAAAACTTGATGAAAGCATTATTATGTTTATAACATTGTTTAGAGGAGACAGTTGTCCTTTAAACAAGTGTGCTAGGTAAAGTAGGGATTGTGGAGAGTTGAGAAAAGAATTGCAAATTTTTAACCAAGATAGCTGGACTGGGAACACCCTACATCTTTAGCTCTTTCTAGCTTTTCTTTATTCATCTGTGCAATTCCCTTCTGAACCCTCCATGATGGCCAGTTGCGTAAATAATCCCCAAAGAGTTTTAGCTTCAGCCAACATACAGATAATCCTCCATGTGCTTATATAATGTTCGGATCAGTGAAGGGCAATGGGAAAGATTTAAGACAGATTTGTACAGGCAAGTATTCAAGTCAGCAAACCTTTTTAAAATAGCATTGGGTATTTTGATATATGATATACATATATATATTGTGATATAGCTCAATAGCCTGCCCTTCAACTGGTCCCAGCTCGTCTTATACAAGTGTTGTTTGTATATGCCATTACACAGAGAATTTATAACATTTACATTTCAGAATGATCCCACCCTAAGCGATAGTCCGGTACCAAAATGTTGACACATTCTCTTTGTTAACATAAATCTGTTAACTCAAACAATCGTTTTGGCCTTTTCCTTGAGATGAAGTGAATAACACAATGAGAAAGGTGCCAATGTCTGGACTAACATTTTGACTTAGGGAGACACTCATCCAATACAAACAAGCAAAAAATAAAACTATAACAGGTGTTAAGTGGGTACAAGTGACTATGTTTTAACCAAACCAATACGATTCAAACCAATAGATGAGTCTAACACACATTTTATCAAATGATCAGCAATATAGATTTACTGGTTCACAAACGCAATGTTTTATCCCTCACATTAAGCTTTATCAAGCTTCATAAATATCCCTTTGAAATGAAAATGTTGATTTTACTGTGTTTGTTTAATGTAAAATATTATTTTGGTACATTAAAATACGGAGTTGAAAATGTTCAAACAAAAAAGTTATCACCATTTTAAAACTTAATAGCAAAGTTAACAGAATATTACTCCTATAATAAGAAGAACATACCTTGTATACAAATGTGCAGACAAAATCGATAAAACCACACTGAAGCTTTGGAAGTTCTTCTGCTTTGTTCCTGTCCATCATTGGCTATAAAAGGATAAAACCAACATGACTAGACAATTAAGATTTTGTGATTTATAGTTTTTCATCCCTAACTTAAAGAGTAAAAATTAGGGATGTACAAAGCCTTTAAACACATCATGTTTTTTTTATATTTTATATTTTCAAAAATGTTGATCTTCTTTGTAATACTGAAATACAAGAACTCTTATGAGAGTTTATTCTGTAAGATGTTGATGGAATATAAAAAAATAGTGTATACTTACAATGGGGTTTTGCTGCAATACAGTCCTTTCCAGGTCACCCTGCTCCCAAAACTCAGCAGCAACCAGAAGAGCCACCTGACAATTAAAATAGTTTGTGTGTTATTTCAGAAAATAAAATATATCACCAGTGCCGGGTCCTGCTTTCAGAATTTAAGTATATTCCATCCAATGAATTAAAAAAAAATACATATTTGGAAATAATGTGCCAGAAGGGGCACAATGAAGGGAGATGCTAACGTGTTTCTTGTATGGCAATTCCTCTGATTATGTTCGTAAAAGAAATATGTCTTGTACACACACACACACACAAACTAATAAACAGTAAGGGAATATTTTAATGAATAAAGGTTTGAAACCATTTTTTTCATGATTATCTGTTTGTTTGTTTTTTAAAGAGTATGGACTCATCTAATTAAACCCAATTTTTCAGTATATAGGTCTTAATTCTCTTACTATATAGACCTTTGTAGGAGGAATGCCTGTTAAGTAAGTAGTGTGTCTAGTTTGTGACTCTTACGAGGTTTACAGCAAGGTCAATTATTTGCATGAAACCTAGCTGACCTGCCAAGTGGTGGAACACCAGAGTCGCTATTGCGACTGGACCCTGGGGTACTGCCTTTCAATGGGGACCCATACCAGGTAGTGGCCCTTCCTTGCAAAATTGTTATGTAGCATATCACCAATAGGACAATATACTAAATAAGAATTAAATGACATCAGATGACCCTGCAATCCTCCTTCTTAGTGTGCACTGCGGAGGCACATCAGGCTGTCATGTCAGAAAACTTTGACTTGCTCTCACATCATCCTTGGTGTAGGTATTGAGTTCTGTCCAAAATTGCCAAAATTGCCCTTCTCAGTCCTCAGGAAGCTATTGGATAGTGCAGAAGAGCTTACAACAAGCTTCCTACCTCTCTGTCTCTATTGCACTCATTTTCTGTTTATCTTTGGTCTCCTCATTGCCTTTCATCTTCCCTCCCTTCCACTGTCTCTCCTTACATCCTTAGAATTGTCAGTTATATTGGACCTTGCTGAGTTTAAGACTTTGGTCTAACTGATATGTAATCCTAAACAAGTTTTAGGACTCTTTGGAACTAGTTCACAAGACATTTCATCTTAGTGGAACTTAGTTCGCAGAATGTGCAGTCAACGTCTGTAGTCAGTCGACTTAGAACCAACCAAATTTGCCTGGAAATGTTTTAGTTAAACAGTTTAAACTCTTTTGGAGCGTCTGTAGCATGACCAATTCCATCATCCTCCCAATATAAATCCTGCCTGTTCTTATTAGAACTTTGCTTACATTGACAGGAGTTCTTGGCCACTTGTAAGTTGTATGCAATAACAAGATTGGTGGAAAGCACGGACAGTGGACCATTGAATTGCCATTGTTCTTTTATATGCCAGTATTGTACTTGGGTATGCTATGCTATACTATAATATGTATCATGGTTTGACTTCATTGTTTTGTTTTCCTTATAAAAGACATGAATTATAGACCTGTACAGTCAGATGTTGATTGCTTCTTTATATTGACTGCAAGTTTTCACAATTTTCTATAAACCCTTCGGTGAAAATATTTATATACATACATTTCCAACTTTGGAATGCTGCTTCTTTTTAATATTGCCCTTTAGATTTCCCTCTCTGTCTTTTTTGGCGCTGCATCTCTCCCTCCCTCTCTGACTCTCCTTTAGCTCTCTTTGACATTCCTTTTTTTTCTGTATGCCAGTCTCCCTCTCAGACAACCACACACACAATCATACTCAGCTAGCCCCATACAATTGCACTCATCCAATTACACACATACATAATACACTCTGGTAAACACCAGCCACACCCAGGCAATCACTGCTCAATCACACACAGCTATCCCACCCAGGTGTATTCCTTAGGTAAGTGCGAGAATAAACAGCAAGGTGAGAGAGGATGAGCATCAAGGAGGGCCCTTCTTTAATAATTGTACCACGGCCCAGCGGTTCCTAGTTACACACCTTTGTTGAACAATATAATGGCCTGAAACACACCTCTGTGATATTCAAGAACTCTATTGTGAAAAATTAAGTGAACGACAATCCTTTGGAATGTTTAAGCCAAAGCACCCCTTACCACGAGTATCCCACTACCACGTTTATCTCCACTTCAAGATTTAGACACACTTTTAATCCATGTATTTTGTATTGTTAAAAGCAGCATACGGTTTTATGATTACTTATCTAACAAACGTTACACCATATTCAATATTTGCTATTCAGCAAAACCTTTGCCTGGTGTTAACTTGTAACACTTTAAATCTAGGATAAATGTCTTTCACATCCTAATGAAGACAGAAATAAACCTGACATTGAAACGGTATGAGGTACTGAGTCTGGTTTATCTCTTTGTCACTGCTGTAGCGATAGCAATGCAAATGTTAACATTCAGTGACATTTCCACCATATTGCTCTACTTACACTTGCAGGTCTATGAAACTATTGGTCAGTTTCCTGGTGTATAAATAGAATTGACCCTCTGGAAAACCGTGTAAATTACATTGAAAATACATTTCCTAGTAAGTAGTCTGCACTCAGACACATGGAACATTTTGAAGTACTGTTGACCTTTTGGACATGCGTGCATTCAGTTGACACATATTTATAACATTTCAGTGTCCATGAACTTACATTATAGGTTCCTTGACCAGAATTTTTCCAAAAAAATCTCATCAATCACTAGATACACAATGACTATGAAAGTTTTTTTATGCTGTATTTTATAGTCATGTTGTGTTTGTAATAACGTTATGCATGCGGTTGTTATTGTACATGATTATTTGTTCTCCATACCTTACTTTGTATTTCCCAGGGTTTGGCAATGGCTGATAAATCACATGCGGTCATCATCATTGCCCTAAAGAAAAACAAAGACATAAATAGTGCCAATTCTGATTACAAATCACTACAGTGGGACCTCGGTTTACAAACGCCTCGGTTAACATAATTTTCGGTTTACAAATAAAAATCCATTGAAAATAATGCCTCGGTTTACAAAATTTTTTTGCAATACAAAGCAAGTTTCCCCAGGATGCATTGCTATTGGGAGGTTTATAGCACCACCCCCGCATGCTGGATCCTGTGGGTAGCACGTGGCTTCGAGTATGGAGGTGTTGGAGCGGCTTTTGCATCGCGTTTTGGAGACATTCTGGAAATTGTTTGCAGTTGTTTTGGGACTTTTTGGTGCATTTCTCAAACTGTGGAAAGGTAGGGAACTGAGCTTCGTCATTTGCATGCCTTTAACTGAGCTTCGTCATTTGCATGCCTTTTACTGTGTGTTCTGCATTGTGGGTTGGTTTCCATGCCAGCTCATTTTGACTTTTTTCTGACCTCCAGAATGGATTAATTGGTTTTCAATGCATTCCTATAGGGAACCGCGTTTCGGTTTACACATTTTTCGCAATAAGAAACGTCCGTGAGAACGCATTAATTTCGTAAACCGAGGTCCCACTGTATATATATATATATAGATATATATATGTATATATATCTATATCTATATATATATATATATATATATATATATATATATTGATTTATTCTTCGCAATAAATGTAGATTTAAATATATGGAAATCCTTGAGTGCCGTTTTTTTCCTTCTCTTATGGTTCAGCCACCAGAGCACCAGGTATCTTTTGTTTTGATATAGTTGGAGTGCAGAGGTTTTCTATATATATATATATATATATATATATATATATATATATATATATACAAAAAAATGAAGGAACGGCCGCCCCGTAGCAAACCGGGCTGCTCACCTTCAATGCCACCCAAAAATAGGGCGTCTAAGAAAAATAAATAAATTTTATTAAGAATAGTGACTTAACATCAAAAAAAAAATCTAAATCAGAAAAGAACTTAGGAACTCGTACGTATAACAGTAGTTATGCCTATTAAACTGTAAGACTACAGTGGGGACAGCATGTATCAATCACTATTGCATGTAGCAATTTAAGCTAAAAAAAGAGTTAATGCTACAGATGATGCTTTGGATACATGTTAAAGATGGCAGGTTAAATAGACTTGTGTGAAAAAAGGTTGGAGGGGGCCTATAAGTGGAGAAAGAAACAGAATGGTTCCAAATGAACCCCAAGACTGAATAAATCAGTCTCACAATGTCTCCATATCATGTGAACGCCCCATCATAATTAACCAATCAACAAACTGTTAGAAAAGAGTTCCCTAAAGGTTATACATCTGACAAAAAAAAACAAAATACCTAAGGACTCATATGAATAGCAAAATGCTACCTATTGACTGCAGGGTTACAGTATATATAATATGTGTAAACACTATTTCAATAGCAATCAAAACTCAAAAAGAGTTGATGCTAAAAGTGATCTAAACAATATATATTATATTATGCCCTGCAGAAAATCAGAGAGTGCAGAATAATACACTTGTATTGGAAATCGAAAGGATAGGGGAGATAATATGAACGGAGAGAGGAATATAAAGTCGGAATGGATATAAATGTAGAGTAGCTCCAGATAGAGTAGAAGCTAGATAGATAAACCTCACAGTAACTCCATATTAAGTAATCGCCCCAGCGTATTAAATAAATCAACCCCAAAGTCACTGCAACACTCTGTCAAAAAAAAGGGAGTACACTAAAGGTATAACAAAATTAAAAATAACATCGGAGAAAAAAGCCCGACGCGCGTTTCGGCGGGTAAACCGCCTTTCTCAAGAGCGAAATCAAGTATATCAAATTGGGTCCCCTTTTCCCCCGTTTAAATAACCCCTACTGACCTCCCATCAGGTGGTATCATCCAATCCCCTTGCTTAGCGGGATTGATTATTACGCATGTCCCGCCAAAGAGTCCGCGCATGCGCACCAAACTTAGAATAGATGGTCTCTTATGGCCATCAGTGCGCATGTCAAAATATCAGTGCAGGAACAGAACAGCGTACAAAGCGTCTGTGCACGCGCGCCAAACTCAAAGTGGGTGGTCTCTTGTGGTCGTCAGTGCGCATGTCAAAACTTCGGTACAAGGACAGAACAGCGCACAAAGTGAACAGTCCCGCCACATAGTACATGCATATTTGCGCATGCGTGCCAAACTCGAAGTCAGTGGTCTCTTATGATCGTCAGTGCGCATAATTAAAAGAGAGATGTCCACATCTATACAGGAGTTTAGTAAGGATAGGGGGGAGGGAGAAAAATAAAATAAAAAAGACGAAAAAACTTAATCCTATTAATCATAGTAGAAGATAAAATAATATATATATATTATAGACAAAAAAAGTGATAAGAGTAAAAACTTTCAAAACTTTCGGCAAGGCTGGTAATAATAGATATGGGAAAAAGGAGATGGGATATATATAACCCAATGAGTCATATGTTTATATAAAGGGGGCAAAAGAGAAGCCCTCGTTCAGACCCAAGGGTTGGAGTGTTTTGAGTTCATATATCCATCTAGATTCCCTCTGTCTCAGTATTTTGTCAAAATCCCCACGTCTAGGGGTCCTTTTTACCAATTCCAATCCACAGAATTTGAGATTATTAGGGTCCCCATGGTGAAATTCTTTAAGATGTCTGGATATAGGTGTCTCAAGACGATTCTTAGGGGATCTCACATGTTCCGTGATTCTATCTTTAAATGCTCTAAAAGTTTTCCCCACATATTTTTGTCCACAAGTGCACTGAAGCAGGTATACAAGGCCCTTGGTATTACAGTTAAAGAAACTTTTAACTTTAAAAGTGCCCAGGCCTTGGCTATCACTAACAATCTTGGAGTTTTTGAGGATAAACTTACAAGCTACACATTTGCCACAGCCATATGTGCCGGTTGGGGGAGTACCCAACCAAGTGGCACGTGGTTGTGTTTTAATAGAAAAATGACTGGGTACCAATAGATCGCGAATATTACGTCCCCTCCTAGCTGTAATATTCACATGTGGGCTTAGAGCCCCCTTGAGATGTGTATCGTTTAGAAGGATGGGCCAGAATCTTTCAAGTGACTTCCGTACTTCTGACCACCCCCTATCGAATGTTGCGATCATACGGATATTTCCAGCATCCTTCTTAGTCGTTTTTTCAGTAAGGTCACACAGTAATTCATCCCTTTCTGTTTGTAGTGCCTTCTTGTAGGCTCTTTTCAGGCAACGGTTCGGATAGCCCTTCTCCTTAAAATGTTGTCGAAGTTGTTTTGCTTTTAAGATAAAGTCCTGGGTGTCACTACAGTTTCTCCGAAGGCGGAGGTACTGTCCCACCGGGATACCCTCTTTGAGGGGTCGGGGATGGTGACTAGTCCAGTGTAGGAGAGAGTTAGTTGCCGTAGGTTTTCTAAACAGTGTAGAATGAAATGTGCCATCTTGGCTAATACTGATGGTCACATCCAGAAAGTTTATGGACCGTCCTCCGAATTCAGATGTAAACCGAAGATTTTGATCGTTACAGTTAAGTAATCCTACCATGTCTGAAAACTCTTGGGGGGTGCCCTGCCAGACAATCAAAATGTCGTCAATGTAGCGACCCCTGGTGGTGTGGCTGAAGTAAAGGTTAAACTGCTTCTGCCTCTAAGAGGGATATGATTAATCAGAATTCTGAACAGAGAAAGGACATTGAGCATAAGGTGTTTGTCTCCCTTCCTCCTTTATCCAGATAAGATATTGATTGTCTGGCAGGGCACCCCCCAAGAGTTTTCAGACATGGTAGGATTACTTAACTGTAACGATCAAAATCTTCGGTTTACATCTGAATTCGGAGGACGGTCCATAAACTTTCTGGATGTGACCATCAGTATTAGCCAAGATGGCACATTTCATTCTACACTGTTTAGAAAACCTACGGCAACTAACTCTCTCCTACACTGGACTAGTCACCATCCCCGACCCCTCAAAGAGGGTATCCCGGTGGAACAGTACCTCCGCCTTCGGAGAAACTGTAGTGACACCCAGGACTTTATCTTAAAAGCAAAACAACTTCGACAACATTTTAAGGAGAAGGGCTATCCGAACCGTTGCCTGAAAAAAGCCTACAAGAAGGCACTACAAACAGAAAGGGATGAATTACTGTGTGACCTTACTGAAAAAACGACTAAGAAGGATGCTGGAAATATCCGTATGATCGCAACATTCGATAGGGGGTGGTCAGAAGTACGGAAGTCACTTGAAAGATTCTGGCCCATCCTACTAAACGATACACATCTCAAGGGGGCTCTAAGCCCACATGTGAATATTACAGCTAGGAGGGGACGTAATATTCGCGATCTATTGGTACCCAGTCATTTTTCTATTAAAACACAACCACGTGCCACTTGGTTGGGTACTCCCCCAACCGGCACATATGGCTGTGGCAAATGTGTAGCTTGTAAGTTTATCCTCAAAAACTCCAAGATTGTTAGTGATAGCCAAGGCCTGGGCTCTTTTAAAGTTAAAAGTTTCTTTAACTGTAATACCAAGGGCCTTGTATACCTGCTTCAGTGCACTTGTGGACAAAAATATGTGGGGAAAACTTTTAGAGCATTTAAAGATAGAATCACGGAACATGTGAGATTCCCTAAGAATCGCCTTGAGACACCTATATCCAGACATCTTAAAGAATTTCACCATGGGGACCCTAATAATCTCAAATTCTGTGGATTGGAATTGGTAAAAAGGACCCCTAGACGTGGGGATTTTGACAAAATACTGAGACAGAGGGAATCTAGATGGATATATGAACTCAAAACACTCCAACCCTTGGGTCTGAACGAGGGCTTCTCTTTTGCCCCCTTTATATAAACATATGACTCATTGGGTTATATATATCCCATCTCCTTTTTCCCATATCTATTATTACCAGCCTTGCCGAAAGTTTTGAAAGTTTTTACTCTTATCACTTTTTTTGTCTATAATATATATATATTATTTTATCTTCTACTATGATTAATAGGATTAAGTTTTTTCGTCTTTTTTATTTTATTTTTCTCCCTCCCCCCTATCCTTACTAAACTCCTGTATAGATGTGGACATCTCTCTTTTAATTATGCGCACTGACGATCATAAGAGACCACTGACTTCGAGTTTGGCACGCATGCGCAAATATGCATGTACTATGTGGCGGGACTGTTCACTTTGTGCGCTGTTCTGTCCTTGTACCGAAGTTTTGACATGCGCACTGACGACCACAAGAGACCACCCACTTTGAGTTTGGCGCGCGTGCACAGACGCTTTGTACGCTGTTCTGTTCCTGCACTGATATTTTGACATGCGCACTGATGGCCATAAGAGACCATCTATTCTAAGTTTGGTGCGCATGCGCGGACTCTTTGGCGGGACATGCGTAATAATCAATCCCGCTAAGCAAGGGGATTGGATGATACCACCTGATGGGAGGTCAGTAGGGGTTATTTAAACGGGGGAAAAGGGGACCCAATTTGATATACTTGATTTCGCTCTTGAGAAAGGCGGTTTACCCGCCGAAACGCGCGTCGGGCTTTTTTCTCCGATGTTATTTTTAATTTTGTTATACCTTTAGTGTACTCCCTTTTTTTTGACAGAGTGTTGCAGTGACTTTGGGGTTGATTTATTTAATACGCTGGGGCGATTACTTAATATGGAGTTACTGTGAGGTTTATCTATCTAGCTTCTACTCTATCTGGAGCTACTCTACATTTATATCCATTCCGACTTTATATTCCTCTCTCCGTTCATATTATCTCCCCTATCCTTTCGATTTCCAATACAAGTGTATTATTCTGCACTCTCTGATTTTCTGCAGGGCATAATATAATATATATTGTTTAGATCACTTTTAGCATCAACTCTTTTTGAGTTTTGATTGCTATTGAAATAGTGTTTACACATATTATATATACTGTAACCCTGCAGTCAATAGGTAGCATTTTGCTATTCATATGAGTCCTTAGGTATTTTGGTTTTTTTTGTCAGATGTATAACCTTTAGTGAACTCTTTTCTAACAGTTTGTTGATTGGTTAATTATGATGGGGCGTTCACATGATATGGAGACATTGTGAGACTGATTTATTCAGTCTTGGGGTTCATTTGGAACCATTCTGTTTCTTTCTCCACTTATAGGCCCCCTCCAACCTTTTTTCACACAAGTCTATTTAACCTGCCATCTTTAACATGTATCCAAAGCATCATCTGTAGCATTAACTCTTTTTTTAGCTTAAATTGCTACATGCAATAGTGATTGATACATGCTGTCCCCACTGTAGTCTTACAGTTTAATAGGCATAACTACTGTTATACGTACGAGTTCCTAAGTTCTTTTCTGATTTAGATTTTTTTTTGATGTTAAGTCACTATTCTTAATAAAATTTATTTATTTTTCTTAGACGCCCTATTTTTGGGTGGCATTGAAGGTGAGCAGCCCGGTTTGCTACGGGGCGGCCGTTCCTTCATTTTTTTGTATATTTTGTGCTTTACGCAGGGTTATGCCCGTTTTGCCACCCCTATAACCCGTTTCTGTCTATATTCCCTATTTGGGTTCTCTATCTAGGGAATATCTCTATTCAATATATATATATATATATATATATATATATATATATAGTTGTCTTGATAAAAGTGTGAATTGACTGAAACGTCAACACTGTATTTGATTGCTGAATAAAGCAACAGTAAATTTTCCTTAAACGATTTCAGAGTGCTCTCTATTTGGAAGATATTACGTATAAGACATACTACACATATAACATGCTTTAACTGTTCCTGCAGCCAATTCCCTGGAGCTGTTGACTCTATTCATACTGCTAAAATTCTCTCAAAATTGTCACAATGAATAAATGTTGTATTTGTATGAAATCAGCACAGGAGACCTATTAAGATCCTTTCTGTCAATTACATATAGTCACTCACAACATGTAACATTTTTGGGCAAATTACATCTACTCCACAACCATTAGATAGGCTAATCATTAAAGGGACAATATAGTCACCAAAACAACTTTAGCATAATAAAGAAGTTTTGGTGTATAGATCATGCTCCTGCAGTCTAACCGCTCAATTTTCTGCCATTTAGTAGTTAAAGCACTTTCTTTATGCAGCCCTAGGCACGCCTCCCTGCATGTGACTTACACAGCCTTCCTAAAAACTTCCTGTAAAGAGTCATCTAATGTTTAGACTTCCTGTATTGCAAATTATGTTTAATTTAGAATTTCTTATCATCTGCTCTGTTAATAGATTGCTAGACAATGTAGGAACCTAAAGTTCACTTTACAGAGTAGGAGATAAAAACTTTTAAAGTAAGTTACATCTGATTGAAAACTAAATCATTTTGTTTTCATACAGGCTGTATGAGTCACAAGCAAGGGAGGTGTGGCTAGAGCTGCATAAACAGAAACAAAGTGGTTTAACTCCTAAATGGCAGTAAATTGAGCAGTGAAACATCACATGCATGATCTATGCACAAAAACTGCTTCATTAAGCTAAAGTTGTATTGATGATGACATGGTAACATGTAAATAACATGGTGGGAAGGCAAACAACAATTCCATTATGGTGCAATCACCAGAAATTTATAAATACCTCTAGTCTAGTAATTCACTTATCTAAATGCTACTGAAAATGACATTTCAAGTAATGACCGAATTACATTTTTACTTCCGTTGTGTTACCACTCAAACAATCTCATAGTTAAGAATAAAAATAACTCATAACCAAATTTGGCAAATTAATTCTATGCGTATGAAAAAATCTTCCACATGCCATATGGATGAGTTTATATTAGTTAGTGATAAACAGGAATATTTTTATACAGCAAAGAAAGCTATTTAATTCCTTACATAGGAAATGGAATGTCAAATCTCACAAGATGTATAAACTTGACATTTATATGTGCGTTAATGCTGGCTTGTGTTACACTAACATACTTTAAAATATACAAAACACATAAATATAATTTAATGATATTTCTTTCTTGCATTATGTTAAGATAGATGGTACCAAATTAGGAATAATATACATCAAGTATTGTACATGGAAATCATAAAGTGCACATATAATTTTATTTTGAAATATATTTAGAAAAACAAATATACTTTGCTATCATGCTCGTTAAACTATTATAAATCACAATTATAATTGTGCATCATATCAAGATGAAATGGAACGCATATAGAGGAAATGTCTGTTCTAATGGAACTTACATGACTATTTCTTTTCGAGTCTGTTCCAGCATCATATAGTCCGTCCATGCTTTCTCGCTTTCATATGTTTTCGACTGGTCTACTATTTTCTGAAACATGGCCCTTTTCCTGTGAGAAAGGTAGACTTATGAATGTGAAATGTATAATCAGAATTTAGTTATCAGTTCCACTGGTGGAAATGTGAGACTAATTCAAATCTAGAGAGGCAAGAATACCAGGAACATTGTATTCTATTGAAATAAGAAGCAAAGGGTCCAAAACACAATAGGAACCAATAATGAGGGCTCCCCATCTTAAAAATATTTTAGAGCCTTGTTTTCCCATTCTGTATGTCTTTCCCTCTTTCTCTGTTTGTCCACCCACTAGTACTTTCAGTCTGAACCCCAAACCCCTCACCCACCCCCCCCCATTACCTGTCAGTCCACCCCTTCAGTCTCAGTTTTTCAACTATGGGACATTTGCAGTTTGTCAAATCCCAAATTCTCCCATTCCCTGTTTGTTCACCTCTTTGAACTTGTCCACCCTCTATCCCTTGCGAATGTCTCCTACCATGACTGCAGTGTGGCTGAGCAGTACTGAGGAAAAGGGTTTTCATACCCGGAGTGTTATTTCAGTAAATAGCATTAGAGGTAAGTAAAGGGAGAGCAGATATGACTTAGTGAGGGTGGCTATGACATAGGGAGTGCAGATTTGCCCTTTCTACTCATAGCTCTCTTAGTATGCCAAGCAACTTTGACAGACTGGGCAGTTGATTGTGAAAACTCTCTTTCACAGTCCTGCTCAGCTGCGCTATATATGGAGCAGTGCAGAGCCAGGAAAGTAGTGCTATGTGCCCCCCACACTCCATTACTATGCTACTGCCCACCCTCCCTACATGTCATTTTAAATAGCAACCAATAAGTAAGGGCACACAAGGACCAAACACATTTGGTGGAATGTGTCATTTGGTTACATTTAAATGCCTGGAATATGAGCTTGTATGGCAATATTCATTTCTTGAGTACTAATGGAGTACTAATGGAGATGAAATATATATTTTTTTTATCTAAGCAATGACAAATAGCACAGGCAATGAATGCTGACCAAATGTGAACAAAATGATACTGGTAATGTAGATGTGTGACCTCTGCAATAGAAATATGTTGTCTGTGTCCTTTTAATAATTTCTAGAATGTAACCTTAAGTGTGAAAATGCCTCCTAAAGTTTGTTATCTTTTAGAAGTGATTTGTTGAGAGGACAAAAATAAAGATAAATTAAGAGATTTTCTTACTCGAACTAAGTAGTTGGTTTGTTAAGCAATTTACAATGGCTATGAACTGGTAGCAGAACTAAAGTGCTGTTGAAAGCAGAACACATTGATGAAAAAGTAAATTAAAGACTGTCTTCTATGCAGGAAAATAGTTCTAAACACAGATGAACTATTGTCACATGAGCTACGGCCTGACTGATTAACACAAAATGTTCTAGAGGTCAATCAATACTTACTTGAAATACAAAGCTAAATCTGTTGCAATGATTGCAATGTCCATCATATGGATTGCGTGATCATACTGCCTTCTGTTTAGGTTCTGGTAGATATTTACTGACTATGAAAAAAGATCATGAAATATCAGTATGACGTAGAAGTAACAGATTCCAAACTGATAATGAAACCTCAACTTTATCTTTCTAATAATGCTAAAAGCAAGTCAGTAAGCACTGTTTGGATACAGTACCTCATCTTTGAGTAATGTTTTGCTAAATTCCAAGTGATGCCTTTCTAAGATAGATGATCCGTGAAGTTTTGCTAGGGGATGACCGGACCTGTGTGGAAAAAACATTAATATTTAAAGATACGATTTTATTGATTATTTCAAAGCGTCTTATCGCCAGGCTTCATACTAGGTAAGTATGTGAATCCCTAACTGCAGATGTTAAAAAAAATTGGCAGAAAGAATTATCAGACCTTAGAGTCACTGGGCTTAACATGAACAAAGGACATGGCAAGGTGTGACATACTAAGAAAACAATAGACAAGCCTGGGTCAAGATACCAGAGGTAGACAAATCAGGGCATGCAGCAATCGAATATAGTCATTAAACACACTGACTCTCCCTTAGTCTTCAATCATTTAAGAAGTGCATTAAAACCCATCTCTTTAGGAAAGGTTATGGCCTCCCAGAGTAACCTCTACCTCACATACCTGTCTCTTGCTCTCTTCTAAAGGGCAACACTCTACTCTCTCCTCCAGCTCTGCTTCACACCCACAGTATTTGATTGGTATTTCCTGTCCTAATGTGTTTTATACCCCACCTACTATAGACTGTAAGCTCGTTTGAGCAGGGTCTTCTTCAACCTAACGTTCCTGTAAGTTTTATGTAATTGTCCTCTTTATAGTTAAATCCCACCTCTAATAATACTGTAAAGTGCTGCGGAATCTGTTGGCGTTATATAAATTGCAATAATAATAATAATAATAAGTTATATTGTAACTTGTAACTAGCTTGTTAGCTCGTAACAGGAAGACAAGAAGGAGACCAAAATCAAAACAAGCACTATATTATAACGATAAGGACCTTATCATTGTGTCAGATCTTATAAAGATCGAAACCAGTTATGCCAAATGATGCTAAAAAAAGGACGTGTCCACTACATCAAAATGAGGCACTGGGAAGGCACATACTTGCGTCAATTAAGGACGCAAACGCCAAGTGTCCAATGTTAAACATGCTAATGGTATGAGAATGCCGCTGAACACACAGTTTAACTCACACGTTAAATCATTAACATAAAAAACAAAACAAAAAAAGAAAGAAACTCTGTGTTTATATACATGCATGTGACTACTGATAGACCAACAGCAGCCAGGATCACTATTCCTATATTATTATAGTGACTGCTGCCTGTTTAAGGCTATTATAGTCATGGGAGATATATTGGTGGTAGGTAGCATTGGACAAAACACAAGCTGCGTGATATATGAAGTGGTACTTACTTCAACTGGTACAGGTTATTAGTGCCCCTGTGGTCAATATCATGGCAGAAGGCTGCAGTCACCATTGCCATGGCTTCCAGATCTGTATAATAGCGTTTGAGCTTTCCTGTCTAGAAAAAGAAGATGCAAGTCATTTTTCCATTTTTTGTTTTTGTTTTTTAATGACACTTGGACAAATACCTTTACCAGAGGGTGGATCTGCTCTCCGTATGTCTTTAAAAAAAAAGCAATTTACAACAATGCTGCTTAATATACATTAGATCACAGTACAGCACTGAGGTCTACGGAGGATCCTGCGAGACAGAGCTAGAGAACGGTAGCTCAGAAAGAATGTCAGGCGGAGGATATGTACAGTAACAAAGTATTCCCAATTTTGTCTCAGTATATCTCTTGTACAATTTCAGTAAAATTCCAACACAGTCACAATTAGTATTTTATAAAGATTTTATCTTTATAAAATACAAGTTTTTCAGGGGGGTGGTGACAGTTCTTCAAATGAATCAAAGTTTACTGTAACATCCATCAACCCCTCTGTAATCCTAACAAACTTTTAAACTGCCAGGGAGCTAAAAACATGCTTAGTCAATATATGCTATTTAAAGGACTTTCACAATTCATGTGATTTGACATCCAAATTACTCTAAAAAAATACTAAATTTGCAGATTGGCTATTCAGGCTTATTATCTGTAAATCCCTGGCCAATTTCACACATTTTCTAGTTTAGTGGATAACGTTGTATTCTTACCATGAGTAGAGTAAACATTGTTTGTCCTACATTAAAGCCATGCCGCCAGTTATGGTAAGTAATTTTCCTGTATCCTTTGCTCACAGAAAAGATAAACCGCACTAATACCTGTATAAAAGCAGAGATTACAAAATTATGCTACATACAAAATATATTCCCTGAATGTCCACATCTAAAAAAAATCACTTTATATAAAATAATAGGTGAACTTTTTCATTAGTTTATATGTAAAATAATTCAAAATTAATTGTTTTCTGGTGTACTTAATTCACAGAAAATAATGAGAGTACACTATCAGTACAAACGCAAAAACAAAAAATTACAAAAGATCAGGCACATTTTATGATATTCATGACAGTATTGGCTTGACAACTGTCACAAATAGCCCAAATATACTTTATAAACTGTCTTCTCCATTTCATGATGAAAATAATAAAGGACATTTGAAGGCCAAAGAGTCATTAGTAAGAGTTCTAGCTCTGTTCAATGTCATTCATTTTAGCACCTGGGAGACTTTCATTAAATACCAAAAACCCACGGTTACTTTTTACATAGTATGTATAGACATTTGCCATCATTCCTTGATATTTCTTCCATTGTCCTGCATCTGGACAAACCAGGGAATCTTCCCTAGAAAGCACACCACTAGATGCTCTTACACCATGCTGAACCTAACCAGGCACAGAATACCTCACAAAGCTCTCAGCATGGTTAGCGCCGAGTCTAGCTGACCAGTCATGCTGTCACCCAGCCTGGGGTCCATTAAATCTGACATGCCCTTCTTTGTGCAAACCTGCCCACTTTCCAGGTAGGACTGGAGTCACTGGTGAGGCAAATGGCATTGATTTCATAGCTCCCAATGATAGGAAGTATGAGTATATGCTTTTGATGGGATCCACTTTCAAACCTTAAAGTCCTGCCTATGAACTAGTATTCAGTTTGTGCTTTTTGCCTGTCTCCCATACACTCCCATACACTCCCATACACTCTATGAAATGATGGCAGTTAAAGTAACAATCTAGGCGCAATAACTACTACCAAAGAGCCTTTGGAACCCAAAGTCATCCAACATTGGAGGGTATCAACATAGTGCAAGAACTCGGCTATGCCACCACCAGTGTTGGCACTCTGTCTTTTCTGTCCATAAGGGATATTATATAAGATCAGCATTTAACTTCAATTATCCTGAGCGTAGTAAAGCAGGAACCCCTCAATTCCTGTTTTTTTTTGGTCCATGTTGGGCAGTTTTTGAAGGATATTCAGGATGCATGTGATAGTGGATGAGCCAAGTTTGGGTGCTGAGAGAGCCCTATTTTTATAAACTATTTGAAACAGTTTTTACAGAAAATTGAGAAAAACAGTTAAAGAATATTTGCCCCATAATGAGCTGTTGTTGTTAGGGTGCTTACAGTGTCCTAACACATGACGTTACAATGTGCTTGTCATTTTTGAATACCTCTTGCGGTATATGGAATTTGTCGACAACTTCTAGCTCATAGTACATCTGAATAGCACATTTAACCAAGTAAAGTTCTGGAACAGGCAGATCGCTGAAGTGAAATTCATATATCTCAGCCTGGTCTGGATCTGGAAGTTCTTCTTGCTGCAAACATTAAATAAATATTTGTTAATGCTAGCTCAATGCATAGAAGTGTTCTTTAAAATGGCAAACTTAAGTTCTCATTGAAGAACCGGGGCTTCAAGGTCAAAGGTGATCTAGGTCCATGAATCAGTTAAAGGAATATAAACGAGGATTCTACTAAAGGAACTTTTCAGAGATATCTTGTGTGATGAAATACTAGGTCCAGAAATCATTTTAGTCTAATGTTTTTTATGAATACAATTATTAATAGTTGTGCAATGGTAAACATAAATGTATTTAAAATAAAATGTTTGAAATAAAAATACATACAAATTAAATGATCTAACTCAAATTGTCCATACAAAATGTATTACTGCTTCTGCAACCTAATTCCTTCCTTGGCACAGGGTTTCTAACCTTGCTTAACAAGGAACTAAATTATAAACACGAATTTGCTTGGTGGTCCATTCTTAATTCAGAAACTTATCTCACTGATCCATTCTTCAAGTGGGAAATACTTAACATCAAAAGGTAGTTTGGCATTTTGGAAAATAATATGTTCATTGCCAAGGATCAAAGGGGAGTCCACAAAGGAAAATCATTTTACCATGTAACCTACTTATTGTGGGCAATTACGTAGGTCTTGCTAAATATATGGGTCTATTCCTATTAATGTGGCCACTCAAAATGACATGGGGACCTATTCTGGATCCCAAACCAGGGTTCTAGAACCACTTGGCGAACATATTGTATGTTATATTCGATATTGGGGACTTTTTTTATAGTTGTAAACTGAAATTAAGTATGTTATTGTTGCACAACATCTTTCTTTGTGCCATTCCTTCCTATGATGTGCCATTACATGAAAAGCCTTTCTGAAAGCCTGAATGTTTATAACCTACCAGTATTTCATACAATTCTTCTTCCTCACACTCGTCCGGCTTCCGGCCAAACACCTCCTTTGTTTTCTGGGAGAAAATGAGTATACTATGATAGCAGTTACTTAAACACAATAAGTGTATGTTTTGAGGAGGATGGTTTTATTTACACATATGGATATAAGCAACTTTGTATGTACAGGTTATATATGTAATATATATTTATGTTTTATCAGATACACATCTCCTGCATGGCATCTGAATATTTTGTACCTTCTCCTGGGATATGGCCCAAGTTCTCACTGGCATGTTGCAATTATGTGGTCAATGAGTGCTCTGTAGAGGTCAACCTGCTCATGGTGCTGTGCTAAGTGCACTCACAAAGGGATCAGTCTAAATGAATTGTACTCCTATGTCTAAGGACCTCCAGGTACGGAACGCATTGGATATTTAATGTGACTGTTCTCCCTGTTTGTTACTTTTTGTTTTGTCAATGTTAATAATAACAAGTGTTTAGTAAACAACCAAAACATAAAACAAGCTCAAGGTAAAAGGGTAGAATTTAAAATGCAAAAAATAACTATAAGATACGTGGTAAGAGAGGGTAGAAAGGTGAAGAGGCATGCATGTGCCAGTGTTTGCCAAACAAAGCAATAATAATGATAATTACAAAAATAAAACTCACAAAACACTGCATTGACTAGAAATATGAAATAATAAAATCAAAACACAAATAAGAAAAAACTGAAATAAAAAAAAATAAGGAAGGGGAAGGATGGAAGGGGGGAGAGAGAGACGGAAACGAAGAAAGACCAGTCATGCACCCCATCTCTTGTGGGCAGTTACAAAAGTATCAGACTAAAAACATTCATAATAGGAGTAGGTATAAACCCAACGCCAAGCCTAAAAATAATGATTTATAATGGCTTGATTTATGGCTTGAAGATAAGGCCAGACACTAATTAAAAGCATTTTGAAATATTGGGCAGACTAGATGGGTCGAATGTTAATTAATGTTAATTCTGGTGAAATATATTCTGAAAACAGACTTTTATGAACAGTGCACTGAACCAATGTGTGCTTAAACATTTTTGCAATTACAATATATGTTGGTCAAAGTGGGACGTATATTCCTTGTTGAAGTGGGGAAATAAAATCATTTGGAAGATCTCCATACCAGGATTATCTGCAGTTCATCGTCTGAACATTTCACGTGATAGCTGACCATATCCTGGTAAATATCCCTCCTGTTTTCCAGTTTATTCATTTTGTCATAGGTGTCAGTATTCAGGACAGACCAACCAAGGAACTGCGCCAAAGACTGAAGAATAAAACATTGGTGATAGAAAGGTCAGAATGTGTTTCCATTAAGTAACACAAAGCATGACAGTGTGAGATGTTTTATACAGTATTCATTTCCTGTGCTACATTTTGCAAATTATCTCCTCTGTTTTCATAGAGGAAGTTGGTTGGGAAAAATATTTTCTGCATTTCTCTTACCTGGGCAAATCCCTTTGTTACATAGTGGTTTCCAACTTTACTGATTTTAAATAATGTAAAATAACCTTCTGCCTTTATACATTATTATCATTATTATAACTATTCACATACTTAAACATGTAGCTACTTCATTTGTGTCATGTGTCCAAGATTTGAAGAATTACATGTACTGTAGCTCCCTAGAGATTTCTTTCACCTTGGAATAAAGTTTTATCGACCTTGGAATTGTCCAATGTGCCAGAGTAGCTGGCTTTACATTGGAAATGAATACATTTATATGAAGGTGATGGTTCTTGATTCTTGATAATAGCTTGGCCAAATTGGAGAATCCCCCATATGTTCTTGGATTAGTTATAAGGAAAGGTTTACAATGTGACAAGGTTAACTTACTTCAAAGAGCACTTCATCCATTTCATCAAAGGGTTTTCCATCCTTCCTGTTGTAGAACGTGGTCACCCCAACTATTTCTTCTTTTTTGTTAACAATGGGCATTGAGAGGACATTTTTAATCATCCAACCAGATTCATCAACAGGACCTTTCTGAGTAGAAACATGACAAAATGTGTTAAAGTGCAATATCATATTAAAAGAATGCATTGTTTGATTTTTGCAGTTTACATTTTGTTACTTTACACAGGAAACAGAACATACTTTGCACCACGGGAAAGGATACGTTTTTGGAATTTGAGTCAGTTGAACCTTCTACAGTGGAAACAAAAATGACAGAAAAAGTGGGCTATAAGTTATGATGCACTCTAAGCATCATAAGTTATAGTGCATTGAAGTAGTTGTGGTGCAGCATCTTTAGACATTGCACTCTGGATTTTATCAGTTTCGGTCACCAAATTGGAAACGCACACAATAAACAGGGATAAAGTTCATAATGGTGCACCAAAGAGGGAGAGGCAAGTTCCCAGCAATTCAATAGAGATAGAAAACCTGGGCAGACAAGGTGGTATCCAAAAATAGGAGAGTTTATTTCAGGAATATGTACACTTGTACCTGTTCTATCTCTGCATTGAATCAAACTGTCTTGTACTGCAGTTTGGATATGGTGGGGTGCTTTGCATTAGCTGTCTAACCTTAGCCTTTAATAATGGGTTGGGGGGCCTGGGCTAACTTGCCCCTACTACTCACAAATTATCACAGCTGTCCATAATCAAACAGAGAAGGTGGGTGTTCACATCTGAATTAGCGGAGCAACTGCATAGGGGCTTGGATCTAGATACTAAAAAAAGTCCTGTTTTGTTGTTGTTTTTTTTTTAAACATTTGAGTTACTAAACTCAAGAGAGAACTGTTTGTTTATTTTTTAAAACTAGAATAATTCTGAATTATTTCTTAGCTAAGAGCCATGTTCCATTTACTCATAACCAGGGTATTTGTTCAGTTCTGTCCAATATTTATGTGCCTCTCACAAACATCCTGTGTTTATCAACGTACTGTTCATCCATCCTCATTTGTCTTTTGCCATCACTTATCCTTATATCGTTCATCCATTCATAAGAATTCCCAGTGTATATAAATGTGGTAGAACTCCCTGCCTCTGGATTACTATTTAAACCTATTTTGTTTGATTGTTCATCGGTTATCGGTTGTTCGTATGTTTCCTGCTTGCATTCATCAAAAGATGAACGAACAAACTACCGAATGGCAGGCCACCCAGCAGGGAAGTGTGCTGCTCGTTAACCTTTCTGCCCTCATTAACATTGTGGTTAACCGTAGTTACTTCCAATTCCCGAACGGTCGGCTGGGTGGTCATCGTTCGTATGAACGAACATATAGCGGCGGCCATCTTGGACAGTCGAACGCCCAGTGGTGTTCGTCTACAAAAACATGGAACTGATTTCGGACACTGATTCCCACGAACACTGCTGAAATCACTGACCATCCATCGCTTTGTTCCAAATTCATACGAACGCTGTGCCATTCGGTAAACTTACAATCCATGAACCGAATTGTACCAGATAGTAGACCCATGGAGCTCATTCATTTAGTTGAACGCACAATGTACAAGGCTTTAACTCCATGGCGATTAAACTACAGGTATGGGATCTGAGCGCTGTTCGGTTATATTAAGCGCTCAGATCTAAGCTATCTGGGGATATGTTGAATGTGGGGGTTCCGTTTGGTATATTGGGAAATATGTATGTCAATGTGTTTTTACCATTACTGTAAAATGGGGATATTCTCTATGCCTCAATGTAATTGAGGTACTTCAAGCACTTAATCCAATTATCTCCAGGATAGAGAGGAGGAGTTGCATTGTTGATGTGGGAATGTGTTGCCATACTGTACTTGTACGTGATTGGTTATTGTAAAAACTGTCATAGTCTTCCACAAGGTCCCTATGGGAGTGTCCATTGTTGGAAGACCTGCATAAAATGCTGACATGTAGCCACCATTAAACAGATCATGCTTGACCCTCAATACAGAGCCTGGTCTCGTACTTGGGGGGATATTTCGAATGATTCCTGTTCGGCACTTAGGAGTGTTCGGTAGCTGACTTTGTATTAGTGAAAAAGAACAGCTTTGGCGGCGTTATCCCCTTCACCTACTCGGGGAGCCGTTACAATAAGAATATTTCACATTATTGTTTATTTAACTTTGCTCACATCTGATTTTTAAACCAATTAATAGATTTTGCTGTATGAGTTTGATTTATTTTTATATTGTTGTACTTCTATATTTATTACTATATATTTTTTTTAATTGATTTAAAATTTGACACATTCATATTAAAAGATTGCATTCTTCACCCCATAACATAACTCAAGAATATAATATCAAAATGTGTTAGTATATATCCAGGCATAATTTTCTACATATATTTAAAATAATTTTTGGTATTTTTTGTTTCATTTTTTTTCTCAGTTTCCAACAATAAAGATTACTTTACCTGGAACTCAAAATAGTCATCAGCTCCTGTGTTCATGATATTGCAAATCTGAAAATATAAGGCACAACAAAAATTGCAAGGATAGGCATTGACGATATCCAAAATTGGCTATAAATTTAATAACACTTAGAACAGTTGGGAAAAATCCTGATTATCTAAAGTAAAATTAGATCTGCAATGTATATAACTCCTAGCTCAGAGACAGAAATCCACAGGAACTGATATGGGTAAGAGGTTAAAGGCTGATTTAAAGTGGATATGTTTAGTTGTTTGGACATAAATAGAGAAAAAGACAGGAAAGAGAAAAGCTGAAGGGTTATACCAAACACCATGACCACTTCAGTGATATGAAGTGGTCATGGAGCCCGTAGTCTCTATACGCAGAATTTCGCTATGAAATGCTGCACATACAGAGTTAAACCTCTTTGCCACTGGACATTTAACTCCATCTCCGTTGGCGTCATTGGGGTGTCATTAGACAGCCTGGAATAAAAGTTAAGCATATTTCTATGCACAAGGTTTAATTCATTGGCTAAGAGCAAACTCCTGGCACTCTGATAGGATCGCCATACAGCTTCCACAGCTCTGCTCATCACTGGCCTCAGAGGACCTTTGGGCCAGGCAGTGGCCCAGGTAAGAGGGTAACCATTGCACAATGGTCCATCCCATTACTGGGGCAAGGGTACCTCTCACACAATATTTGCATTATTAAATCAGGCATTCTCTGCTGCACTGTTGTATATTTCGTTAGGCAGGTTGTAGGTTATAGTGGTTATGATGCCTGATCTTTTTTTTTTTTTTTACGTTGCCTAACGAAATATACAACAGTGCAGCAGAGAATGCCTGATTTAATAATGCAAATATTGTAAGTCACACTGTATGCTTTACAGTACTGACATGTTATACTTACAAGACCGTTTTCGGCAACATATGTGGGCAGCTTGCTGCTGAGAGCCCAATGATCTGCAGGCGGGTTCCTGAAATAGAAGAATGTTTCTCAAGACATGCCATTGGTACAAGATATATTCTAATCCCTATTCATAGTTTTCAGAAAAACAGCACAATCAAATCTATAAAACACAATATATAAATTTGAGAGACAGAAATGTACATTTGGTCCTGCAGTAGGGTATGCTCCTGTCAGAGGCATAGGTACCTAAGTGATATTGGCACCTTCCCCCAAACCTGTAGATTTATTTTTGTTGTCTCTTGTGCAATGCCCCTAACAACCTTTTGTTGTAGGGGAAAAGACTAACACATACACTCACATTTATATACACACACATGCTCACACACTCAAGTTCATGTATACACACAAACATTCACACAGATACATGCTCAATTTTATATACACACGCATATTCACAAAGACACACACATTCATATACACATACTCAAATTCATATAAACAGCACATGCATAGTCACAGACATATTGACACATTCACATACATATACTTAAATTCATAAACACAGATACACATGTGCTCACATTCATATACACTCATGCACACATTTGATTTATTATTTAGCCTATTAACCCTGGTGTGCTGCTGGGATCACTCTGTGCTACGATTGCACAGTTCTCTGCAGCTCTATACTGATTCTGGGACTGGAGTGATTTTATATCCTAACTCCCAGCAAGCAGTACGGAACAGCAAGGGAGCTGTGCAGTGAGAATACAGACTGATCCTAGCATCTCCCCTGTCACCTCCAAAAGTATATCTGAGATCTGAAGTTGCAGTGCATGCACTTGTCGCATGTCTGCCTTTGTTAGGCAGAGGCCTGCCCTGGTGACAGGAAATACAGATTAAGGAACAGCGCACACATAAAAATACTATTTTAAATTTCACAAGGATACTTAGAATCACATATCTTAGCAAACAAATATGGGGATTCGGTTCCACCATATGGTCATATTGTGTTAAGCCCACCACTACACCATAGTACCCCAATATCTGTGGGTCCAACACTAATCCCAAACGTGGGGGACAAATCAAATAGTGCCAGTGTTAAATGAGCTAAAGTGTGTTTAATTAATCTGTTGTAAGAGCATTGTGAATATATATATAAGGCAAAATTAATGTGATAAAAACACACAAGAAGATAGGGTAAAAACTAAACAATTAAAGTGATAGTGCTTTGATGTGTATACTTAAAATGTATCCTTAATCTGTATTTGGTATAAATTTTATTCTCTAAAGCAACACCATTGCTGAGAAATACATGTTCAGGGTGTGCCACCCCCCCCCCAATTCCCTTGATGCACCTTTGAAAGTGACCACAGGAAAGTATACATTTAAGGAGGTTTAAAAAATACTTATTTTATATGAAGAAGATATAGGATATGAATTGTGTGTAATATGTTGATATATGGCATATAAATGTGATGTAGAGTGATAGAGAGTGAGGCAGGGATAGAGATAAAGAGTGAGACAGAGAGAGATGAAAAGAGAGGCAGGAAGAGAATTGTAGATTGAAGCAGAGGAATCTAGGCTAAGACTGTGGCAGTGAGTGTGAATGCAGTTGTGGAGTAAAGTACAGCAGTGACAGTGAGTGAGGTACGCACATGTATGCCAGTAAATAAGCCACATGTTTGTGTAAATCAAGGTGAATGAGAAGCATTTGTTTGTACCATAGTATATTTTGATAGATTCTCGTCAAAGAATAAAATATTGTTTTTTTAAACTTACGGTATAACTTTAATCTCTTCCTTTCCATGTAATATGTAGTCAACCACTTTATAAAAGGATATTTCCTAGAAAAGTTCAAATGGTGTTATAGCAATTTATTGTGCACTTACGTGTTATTAACTTTCTATCATGGATACAATTTTATGTTTAAGCACCGACACTTCACAGTTGTTGCCATTCTTTAGACTCTTTGTGTATTGATGAAGCCATGTTATATACCTACTAACATAAAAATAAAACACTGCGAGTACTGGGAAGTATTTTATGTGTGTGAATGGATAGTTGACGGTAGCTGTCTGTTAGTCAAACATTTGTTTTTTCAACTTTTCTAGTGTTAAGTCTTCTAGCGCTTAGCACTGGAGTACTATTTGGCCTCAGTGCTAGAGCTTATTGCCACCATTTTAGTCCCACTAACGGTTTATTATTTTAGCATTAAAAATTTACATGACAATATAAGCAATACAATCCTTTTTGCAAATTAATTCCTTCCTGTTTCTTCTGGTATTGTTATTCTAAATCAATATTTGCAATGTCAACAATGAACAGCATAAAAGTGTAAGATTAAATTATGTTAATTGCTTGTATAAATTAAATACGAGAATTAATTCACATTGATCTGAATGTCTTCCGATCCTGAAGTCGGGAAATAAACTCTTTAAATATCAAAGGATAATTTTCTCAGTTGACTTCTGGAGTTGTTTCATCAAAATATTATTATATCTGGCCTTTGAGAAAGCCATGTTGATTGAAGAACAGACACTGATGCTATTTTCCAAATCAGCCACGTGACAATATTTCTAGTAAAGCATCTGAGTATGAGTTAAGTGTAGGATATTATGAGAATATATTTTAACCTTCAAATACGTACTCTACCATCTGGAGTCCTTGGTCCTGAATATGGTGGAACTTCACCCATAAGAACTGGCCATTGATCAAAAAATTCCTGAAAAACAGAAATATATATGTATAATTGGGTTTACACCATTAATGTAATAAAAGTTGAGAGGTGTATATTTTCTATTGAATGGACTCTGAATTGTAGTGTATAAAAATCGGAATGCAACAATTAAGGCGACAATAGCTAAACGCTAAGCCTAAGTGAATTGGAGATTTTTTTCTAGATCAGCCTTTGCCTAAACATTGCCATTTGATGTTTATTCTGCAAATTAGAGTTCATTGAATAAATCAGCAAACGTATTGTTAATTACTAGAGATTTATTTAATGTGTAAAGTGTTGAAGGAAAGAACAATAGATTATCCATATCGAAGCTGATCTAGTCATCACAAAAGGAAAATTAGGAACTATTTTACCTTATGTATAGCAATAAAGTGGACAGAATTTGATAATGTGTTCTGTTTCAGTTGCCAGTCCGCTAAACCCGTTATTTACCCATAATCCATCAATAAAACCAATCCCACACAAGGGGAAACAGCAGAAGTTATGGGCATAGGAAAACAAAATGATATTTAGATTCACACAAGGAAAAAACAATGACAAATATAAATAAAGACAAGTGGCAATGGAGGGAGTATAAATATTAAGATACAGGTGGCATAAGGAAAGGAACACTGAGAAAAAAAAAATGACCGGGTCACGTTAACTTGTCAACTATGCCAGGTGGTTTGCTAAGAGCTGCAGTAATTTCACAAATTGTTCATCATAACCTCTGGAGAAATGAAAATATGTTATGGTGCTTAGGGTGACCTTTAAAATCATGTAAGACATGCTTCGCTGAGCTAGAACTTTTTTAACAATCAAAGATTAAATGCTAAGCAAAAGTCAAGTAAAATAACAATATGATGTGATTGTGAAATAAGGCTGGGTGTCATTCATCCGTCCAGCATCCATTTTATCTGGTAGCTCTACACAGGAATGTTGGAGCTGCACATATCACAAGGAATCATAACAAGAAATACTATCCAATTTATAATACTACCTTAGTCTTTGTCATATCCAGAAGTCCTACAGAGTATCTGTCACAGTTAAGGAAGGCGCGGACTGTGTAAAATGCTTTGTGAAACTGTCTTTCGATATCGGTCAGCTCTTCGAAAACCTTGTTGGCTGACCACAGAAGTATCTAGAAATAAATAAGCCACTAGTATTACATGATAGCAAATTTACATCCACATAGCACTCAGTATAAAGCAGATAACAAGCAGCCTTTGTTTAAATGCGGGGCTTAGCTCAGGGGAACTAAAGAAAAGTCCTGCTGAAGAACTTCTGGCTTTCAGGAGATTGTAGTGGAGGCATGGAATGACACCGGGTGGACGTCAAGTGAGAAGTCAAACCATTTGAAAATGGTTTGTCTGCTTACAGTGGCGGGTGCCATGGCAATCCTGACACCATGACCACTACATTGAGCTGCAGTGGTCCTTGTAGTTTTCTTTTTATTGAAAGTTAAACATAGAGTAAGCTCCATATTAAATATAACGAAGAAGTAATATTATAACATAATTAACAAGTTGTTATTCAGGGCTGTTGTGTATGGGATGTATTAGGGTTACAAGATTCTAGATAGGTTCCTCTAAATCATTGTAAAAATCCTAAAAAAAATGTGAATTAGGAATTATTTTATAAAAATTGCAATAATTACTAATAAAAAAGCTGCAATTTTAAAGTGTCAAAACCCCAAAACAAACAAACATACAATAAAAGAATAAACATTAGAAAAGGTGCACTGTGCACCTTTTAAAAACTTTATTCCCCTAACTCATAATCAGTTAGTGCTTTGAGTACTACAGTTTTTTTTTGTGTAAGCCATAAGTGCTCTTGGAAACTACATTTTTATTTATTTGGGCAAGTATGTTTTATTTGTATATTTAATTCTTATTGCATATATATATGATATCTGTGACCGTGTCATGCTACTTTTCCCTGTCTAAAACGCCAGTCAATGATCATTTTTTCAGGGGTATCATATTCCTAAACAATTTATATTAAGGCATATTTGTACAAGTATTATACAATCAGAGACACCTAATACTTTTTTACTAAGTTCAATTTGATTGCGTGTTCATGATCATTACCTGACCCTTTCTGGTTTCACAGTTGTGTAGGTAGGACAGGTGGAACACCTTGAGTATCAGATTGGCAAAATTGAGGTACTTAAGGAACATCTGCAAAACAAAAATTAACAATTCTTCATAGCTATTACACTACGTGGCTTACTTAACATATTAAATCAATCCAATAAACAGCAAAAACAAGATTTTAGTATTTAAGATTTTTAGCTCATTTACCAACACTTCTTACATTATTGGCCATTTTCCCTTTTCACGCACTACTCAAACACACTTAACTTAATTGCAGTCACTCAGTGCCAACTAGAGCAGCATTCAATCCTAAACTCCACTCCACAAACTTGTTTTCCTGGCACTATAGGGTTATTAGGACCCTCCCCACCCTCAGGGCCCACCTCCCTCTGGGCTGAAGGGGTTAAAAACCCTTCAGCCACTTACCTTTCCCCAGTGCCGGCTCCCTCTGTGCTGGGGAACTCTCTACCCCCTTCCGACGTCAGAAGCGAATGTGCATGTGCGGCAAGAGCCGCGCGCGCATTCGAACAGCCCATAGCAAAGCATTACTCAATGCTTTCCTATGGATGTCCAGCGTCTTCTCACTGTGATTTGCACAGTGAGAATCGCGGAAGCGCCTCTAGCGGCTGTCAGTGAGACAGCCACTAGAGGCTGGATTAACCCTCAGTGAAACATAGCAGTTTTTCTGAAACTGCTATGTTTACAGCTGTAGGGTTAAAACTAGAGGGATCTGGCACCCAGACCACTTCATTGAGCTGAAGTGGTCTGGCTGCCTATAGTGGTCCTTTAAATTCGCTAAGTAACAAAGTATGATCAAAATAATAAAGTTCTGTATGTAGAAATAAAACATTTTTTATTTGTTTTTTCCTGAAGAGTGTGTAATGTTCAAATCTGCTACACAGAATTTAGGCAAACTCTATTCAATGACATACAACATTTTAAAGTTTCCAAAAGTTATTTTCATTTTTAGTAAATAAAGTTTGTTTAGTATCATTGACTGGTGACTGGATAATATACAGATGAGTTTCACATTAATATTTCCCACATCATTAATAACCCATTGACTTTCACAGTTTTATCATTTTATTGTGCTTAGCTACTCCCATACAATATTAATGACTAGTTAAATCATCAATACAATTACCAAAATATTTTGTGTAGTTAAACAGTTAATAAAGTATAAATAATCATAGACAGTTTGATTACAGTTAGCATGCTGATAATTAACCTTAATGATTTTTCACCCAGAAAGTCATTACAAGTCTTACCTCTTCATCATATTTGGTGAAACTATTGCCATCAGCCTTATTAACAGCCATTATTACAGCCACTACATCCTTCCCGTTCATCACAGGCGCAGCAAGGATGCTCTGTGTTGCATATTCTGTAATATTATCTACGAAACTGCAGAAATGTGTGTCCTAAGCATAAAAACAAACAAAAATACATCAATGTCCGAAATAAGGGGGAAAACTGCCTGTAATGTATAGGGACATCTCTGTAACTCAATCAATGTGAATCAAAATAAAATCCTAATGAGGGACAAGAATGTAAAATGCAAGTGTGGACCCCGGATATCAAACAGTTTTTGGTGAATTTTATATTTAATTATAATTTATGGTCAATTTTATATTCAATTATACTATTTCGAATTAAGAATTATATTAGATGCAATAGCTTGATCCAATTACAGTGCTTCCCCATAGGATTGGCTGAGACTGACAAAGAGGCAGATCAGGGGCAGAGCCAGCATGATTCAAACACAGTCCTGGCCAATCAGCATCTCCTCATAGAGATGAATTGATTAATTAATCTCTATGAGGAAAGTTCAGTGTCTGCATGTAGAGGGAGGAGATACTGAATGTTTGGATGCATTTTAGCCATGACCCAGGAAGGATCTATAACAGCTATCTGAGGGGTGGCCAGTGAAGTTATCACTAGGCTGTAATGTAAACACTGCATTTTCTCTGAAAAGACAGTATTTACAGCAAAAAGCCTGAAGGTAATGATTCTACTCACCAGAACAAATTCAATAAGCTGTAGTTGTTCTGGTGACTATAGTGTCCCTTTGAATATGAAATTTAATTTGAATTCATTTGACTTGCTGACAATTCTAACTTTAGTAAGTAACCGATTGAATCAAATATAGCCTTATCCCAATTCCTAAAATCCTGATAATATTCAGGGGCACAAAGTATTCTAATCTTTTTCATGTGTCTAGAAAGAGTATCACACTACTTTATTACTACATAAAAACACGCATTAGATATGACTTTAGCCAATTTGGATACCTATGCCATATTAGCATTTGTGTCCTAATGTTAGCAAATATGATTTCAAATCACTGCAGTAAACATTATTACTTAAAGGGATAAAATAGTGTTAGGAATACATAGTTATAGTTCCCTGTGCTTCCCCCCTCCCTTGTGGCCACCCTCCTAGCCAATAAACAGTTAAAAAAAACCTCTGCGCTGATTGGCACTACACCTCCTCCGAAGGTGGGGACCTAATGTGTATGAGCAGCAAGCTATGCTGGTTAATCCCTGCATTGGGCACTGTAAAAGGCTGAACGCAATCAGCTGACCCCCTCATCCAATAATGGCAGCCCACTTCTGCTCAGGCTAATCCTTCATTTGCTAGCATTAATTACAGCATTAAAAATTTTAAAAAATTTATATATTTTTTTATAGTTTTACAGTTTTGGTCTAAACATATTTTTTTTCCAATTCCTGACATAACAAGTAAACAACTTGTACACAGAGGAGTGTTTCCCTTGTTTTGGCTCTTCTCTTTGACTTCTATTGGTTGAATTGGTTTACACATAATGTAATTGTCAGTTTCATAAAACTGTTATGGAACAGGTCATAAAAATTATGAATTTTCACAAATATATTGTTTTTTTCACAAATGTCTGCTTGTAATTGTGAGGCTTATTGTAACCTTGCTATAGGTGATTCCATTAGTCTTTTAGATACAATGTAATTTGGATTCATAAGGACAAATCTGCTGAGTCACAGTAATAATTATTTTCTTGTTTTGCTTGTAGTAATCATAGTAATTGACTGTACACAGTGACTGTGTATAATTATTTTTGTATAAACACATGCATAACTCCAGTGCTATGTTATGGTAAATAAATGTCATTGCAAACATGAAAACATTACCTTTCTTCACTTATAATTAAAGCCTGTACAAGAGAGGGGAACCTTAATTATGAAATAGCACTATTCATCACCAATGTGTCCCCTCAACAAATATATAAGTCAACAGTCCCAGACAAATGTAACTAGCAGAAGATACTTACATGGGGAGCATGCATTAGTAAGGAGGACATTTCATCTTTTCTAACACTTCAGACAATAATCAATTTACTATTGAAATGCCAACATTACAATGTAGGCTTTGTAACAGAGCTCTAGTTAATATGGCGCCTTATTCCAGGTACCATGACAACTTTGCATTGTTTCAAATGTTATTGTGCAGAGTATCTTGATCTCTCTCTCTCCCTAACAATCAGCACAAATCACACTGCTCTTGTCTGCCCCATGGATTTCTGATGTCAAAGGAGGACATTAACTGTATAGGCACTTTTACACACCCACTGTTAGTGTCACGTACGACTGTTTACACAACTGCGAAGTTGGCAATGTATTACCTGTTAGCAGCTGGTATCAGCTGATTGTGCAGTTCTTTTTATCCTATGTAATGAGTTGAACTGCAGGTGATGAATAAACATACCCAAACAGTATCCCTGGACATAGGTTTGTGGAAAAAGAAAATACCCAACGATCAGAATGAGAGGCTCCTGATTGGTAGAGTCTCTGATCAGGTGGGCAACTGCTAGAGTTTGCATAATTCAAAGGTATTTTTTCTTAGTTGGGAGCTAAGGTCTGTAGAATTGTAAATGCAGTTGTACTTCCTAACGCCTAACTAATGTGGTTCGTCCCTTAAACATAAAAGATGTAAGCGATTGATAGCCTCCTAACTCCCTTACTTAAGCCTTATCATTACCTTACCTAGTAAGTGAGCTTGAAAATTGGAGATAGTTGTAATTTACGGGACAACAGATACCCTTCCATTGAGGTGCATGACTTTAAAAATTGTACCTAAATGCTAAATCACACAAGTGCTTAAAAACTCTGCATCCCTCCTTCTTACACAAAAATATCAGGCTCATATTGACCTCCTTTAACGCCTTCCTTCTCTTCAACATAGCAGGTGTTAGAGGAAAACACTACTTCATAGGTCCTCTTCATAGGTTTGCTTCCTAATTCGCTAGACTCTCTCTCAATCCTCCATCTTGCATTGAATTTGTGCATATTTGCCACTCAAAAAATGTCACGCCTTTCTCAACAATTCTTGTTTATTGAGTCTTTATGAATAGGTATAAAACACAAAATAGTTCATGGTTATGAAATGTGTTCAAAAAATATATAAACAAACTCTTAAACTTAACCCAACCCTTTAAATGCCTCTCTGACACCCTCCACTATGCTTTTTTGTTGACTGGATATATAAAGTGGTATAGTAGAGAAATATCTAGCTTATGACTGAAACTATCTTGTAAAGATTTAATAAAAACAAACTTTTCTGATTCTAGTGACGCAGATTAAAAAAATAGAGAGCTGTGACTTTGCAATTCTGTTTCTCAATAGCCCAATTATATGCTTTTATATAAAGGGAGGACTAATGGAATAAAAGGGTCTTGTTGAAAAGATATCCCCTATTCTGCAGTTAAATTATACAAATACAGTCAACCTTTTATTTTACAGAAAAATGTATTTAAAAATTATAACTCTTGGCATCACTTACGTTGGACGCTTTACAGCAAGCATGTTAAACTTGCGGCCCACCTGCCCTGGGCCTAATTTGTACGGTAGCTGCAACCAGCTGCAAGACAGGAAAAATAGAGGGGCTTGGGGGACCTTCCTGTGTAATGTGTTAAATTGGGGGGGAGGGAGGGGGTCAGGGGGAAGGGTGGCAGTGTATTCATTTAAAGAAGGGAGGGGCAGTATATTAATTTTGGAAGAATGGGGGCCAGTGTATTAAATTGGGGCAGGGAGTAGTCATTTGGGAAGGGTGGGGACCAGTGTATTAAATTGGGGGAGGGAGATGACACTGTATTAATTTAGGGAGGGAGGAGAGCAGTGTATTAAATTGGGGGAACGAGTGGGTAGTGTATTAAATTAGGGGGAGGGAGGGCAGTGTATTAAATTAGAGTGGTGGGTATGGGGGCAGTGTGTTAAATTGGGGGAGGGCAGTGTATTAAATTAGGGGAGGGAAGGGGGCAGTGCATTAAATTGGAGGTAAGGAGGGCAGTGCATTAAATTAGAATGGTGGGAGTGGGGGCAGTGTAGTCAATTAGAGTTGAGGGAGGAGGGGCAGTGTAATAGATTGGGTGGAGGGGGCAGTGTATTAGATTGGGTGGGGAGGGCAGGGTATTAGATTGGATTTAGGAAAATGCATTGGATTTGTGGGCAATGTATTAAAATGTGGGAAGGGGCAGTGTATTAGATTGGGTCTCCATGGAGGCGCTGAATGCTGATGCTGATTGGCCGCATAGTCTTTTGACACACATGCAAAATGACCTCCCAATGTTTTCTATGGGAAAGCATTGGATTGGCTGAGATCATCAAGTTTGATGAGCTCAGCCAAAGTGAAGAACATACTCATAGGACTTCAAAATCAACAATATAACATCGTTTTTTTACAGCTGTGCAACAGTATACACTCACCATTTCAGTCCCATTACCATACTTTTCTTAATATGTCAAGGTAGCTTGAATGAAACATTGGTTATGCAAATGCACGTCTCCTTAAAATAAATCTGCTCTTTTGTTTACTTTGAAGCCCTACATGCGTGAGGATGTCCAGTGTCAGGCAACTTTTTTTATACTGTACTTTTCAAAATAAACCTACGTTTCTATGAAAACTAAAGTTTTTGTTTTTTTGTGGCCCACATAAACGTAAACCTTGTTTATTTGGCCCGTGTTAGCCTTTGAGTTTGACATGCTTACATTACAGCATCATTCATGAATGCTTTCCTGCAAAAAAGACACGTACGATCAGATGTCCAGGGAACAAGGAATTACCAGAGGAAGCTTTTACTGCATTAGGTGGTCTCTATGACAGCCTTCACAAAAATGCTATAGGATAACCAAAACATTCAAATTATTTTACACTCAGTTACATATGAGATGTTTAGGGTTCCTCAATACGACCGACCAGGGCCTCGATTTAATATGCTTTCAAAGTGATTCAAAGTTGTTAGAAAAACTTTTCATATGAGTTATATACAAAGTCATCATTAAAGTCTATAGGATTTTTTTTGTAAATTCACATTTCTAAAAGTTCTCTCTAAAAGATGCCACATATCCTCAAAATTGCATAATCCAAGTTCCCATCAAAGGTGAAATCTGTTCTTTTCTCTTTTATTTTTATGATTTCCTTTGAGTCAAATGTTCCTGACCATATTGGTAACTGAGAAAACAAATATTGGGAAATTATGTGTAACATAACCAAAGTGGAGGGCAATCCCAATAACACAGAGGGAATACGCCATATGAAAAAAAAGCAAACCAATTGAATTGAATCCATAACTATAATAGGTAATGTCTGCCTAGGTGAGCTGACTCTCCACCAAGGACAATATCTAATCCTACAATGCTTATAAATGATGAAACACCCACAATGATGTGCCTAACAGATACACTGGGGAGAGGAAAAGGAAGAGGAGAACGAGGAAAATGATAATAATGATATTTAGATCCCATTTTAAATTCATCCCTTTGAGATATTCAAATAAATGAAATTTAAATATCTAATAATCCACCAAATTCAGAGTTTCTTTTGTAAACCCACCCTTTGGACAATTTACTTTTCTCAGTTCCTTAAAAGTATAACCATTTCAAATGCCCCCATTCCTGGAAATGACAATTGACAAATTACCTTTTGCTGTCATGTTTACTATTCATATATGTTCCCGTATATGCTCACTTAACAATTTTGTGTTTTTTATCCACATATTGGACTCCACATTTCAAACAGATGATCAACTATACAACAAAATTGGAGCCACAATTAATATAAGAACTTATACTTTAACATTGACCTGTGGAATTCAGTGTAAACTGGGATCTTTTTTCAAGAAAGTGATAACACTTATGACACTTAACACACCTTTACACTCCAACCAGATCTTTCTAATCACTAGGTATTGATTTGGTGAAAACTGAGATTGCAAAGTGTGTCCTCTTCTAGAACTATATCTCAACCTTTGGGACAAGAATTTATTGTAAAAGGAATCCAACTTAAGGACCATTAAATGGCTCTACACTATGTTTCTTATAGCTTTAAATTTCAATGAACTTTGGGTACAAAATACCCTGGTATGAATGTATTTTGGCTCTTTAGAACATTTTTAAAAATTGACTTACTTCACCTCCCATCTGGACTTAGGCAGGCCCAATTCATTTTCTGTGCAGATATTTTGGTACAAATCCCAGCAAATAATTGTTTGTGTCTCTCAGTGTACTGGATTGTCTCAGAGGTCTATTTGCACAGTCTATACCATGGGTTCTCTCTGGTGTGGCATTCATTAGGCCATGACCTCCTTCCATACGGTTGGTGTACAAGTTCTGGGTGCATAAATGAGAGTATCATGAACCTAGAGAATCAAGCCCACTTGGTCGTTGCCCAGATTACAAAGGTCTGTATCAGATGCTAGGGAATCAGAGCAATTTGTTAACAAGTGGGCTACTGGAACAAACCATTTATGGACATAAAGTTAGAACCCTAGACCTACTTGGCTTCTACCAAAACAGCAGACCAAGTGAGAGGGGCTACATGAAATGTATATGGTAACCATGGATGAATGAAAGACCATCAGCTACACCAACACCAAAACAGCTAGTTGCACAACAAGGAGTTTCATTCCACCAGTGCCAAGGACCAGAAATTGTATAGCTGCTGATATAAGAGAGGTGATAAGCTAGCAACTCTTGATCACCAGAAAAAAACTACCAAAGATCAGTGTAAAACTGCCACCAGACATAACAATGGTTAATGAGGCACTATCCAACAGACCAACACCATATATTTATTTGACTGTAAAATGGACAAAGAACATCTAGTAGGGAATACATTTACAAAAAGGTTCATAAAATACTGTGGTGATTACTGGAGCAATTGCTCAAAGCAACATAAAGTATCCAATATAAACATCTTTATTAAAATACATAAAACTGCTGGTTGAGGCATCATAAATAATACAATTTTATTAAAAGAGTCCTTTTCTCCCCATTCTCAACTCAGCTCCAGGTAAGTATAAAAAGAACCTATACAGTATGCCGGTGAAATCAGCAACAAGTGTAAACCCTAAAAGACAAGTTTGGGGGTGGATAATGCAAAAGATTTAGGCAGAGATCTGCTCTCCCATAAAAGATAGCAATATTTTTTTCAATAGATTTTGGTATTTGGTAACTTGGAAAAATACTTAAAGGGACACTATAGTCACCAGAACAACTACAGCTTATTGAATTTGTTCTGGTGAGTAGAATCACTACTTTCAGGCTATTTGCTGTAAATACTGTCTTTTCAGAGAAAATGCAGTGTTTACATTACAGCCTAGTGATAACTTCACTGGCCACTTCTCAGATGGTTGTTAGAGATCCTTCCTGGCTCATGCCTGCCTAAAATGCATCAAAACATTCAGTATCTCCTCCCTCTGCATGCAGACACTGAACTTTCCTCATAGAAATTCATTAATCAATTCATCGCTATTAGGAGATGCTGATTGGCCAGGGCTGTGTTTGAATCATGCTGGCTCTGCCCCTGATATGCCTCCTTGTCAGTCTCAGCCAATCCTATGGGGAAGCATTGTGATTGGATCAGCTACCACTTCTGATGATGTCAGCAGACTGCTTGTTTTCGGAGGCAAACAGCATGCAGATCTACAGCCTCAGGCTTGAATACAGTAAGTTTTTGCTATATTTGTGGAGGCACAAGGGGCCCAGGGGGGCTAGATGGTGGTTTTAACACTATATGGTCAGTGATACAAGTTTGTGTGCTTGACCCTAAAGTGATCCTTTAACGCGGAAAGTATTTAATGTAAATAAACTTTGACTCTATGCAATTAAAATGGGATCACTACTTTGAACATACAAGTATATAACTAGGTGCTAAAGATGTGACTAAACAAGTGATACAATACACAATGGGATCAGTACACATCCATACACCAAGAACTATAAAATTTGCAAAAAATGCTTCTACCAGGGGCCGAATGGTTGATCGTATGAATTCCTTATTCCCGATTTGCAGTATAGACTAATCACAAAACAAGTGACTCACGCAACGGATAATCATGTTCATTTTTGATTTAAGATTTGTATTCCACCTGTGGGGCAAAAAAAAAGAGATGATTGATGGGAAAAAATAATGATTGGTGGCTGTGGGCAGTTATTTTGATTTACTGATCAAGTGAGAAGTGGGCAATAGAGGTCAAAAGGAGAGCAGTAAAAACTATCTACATTTATACTTTCTTTATTTGATAAATATAAAATAAATAAATATAGATTTTGTTTCTGCTCCTCCTCTTTTTACCTCGATTGGTTACTTTGATCTGTGAAGTAAATCACAGCACAATGCACCCCTTTTTGTGCACCTTTTGGTTCATCTAATTTGTTTATCTGAATATTTTTAATTAGCAAAATATATAGGAGCTAAACCACCATACAAAATTAGCATAAATGAAAGATTCATAGCATGTGTTGTGTGGTTTTGCATAGAATAGAGTTGGCAAATTGATGTAAAAAGATATATGGTTCCGTTCTAAAAAAGGGAGTAATTTCCTTGGAAAATATTGGAACCTGCTTGCACATTCCATTGGTGAGGCCTCATCTTTTCAATCTTTGCACCACTTTTCAGAACACCTTGATTAAACATTCCTTTTGTCTACACGTACGGTAATAGCCTTGGCTCCCCACGTGCATCAATGAGCCTTGGGCGACCATGACCCTGACGTCGGTTCTCCAGTTGTCCTTCCTTGCACTAATTTAACAACCACTGCACACCGTGAACACAACACAAGACTTGCTGTTTGCAGATGCGTTCACTCAGTCATCAAGCCATCACTATTTGGCCCTTGTCACAGTCACTCAGATCTTTTCACTTGCCCATTTTTCCTACTTCCAACACATTCAATTCAAGAACTGGCTGTTCACATGCTGCCTAGTATATCTTGCCCCTTAACAGGTGCCATTGTAATGATGTAATCCATGTAATTCACTTCACCTGTCAGTGGTTTAAATGTTGTGTCTGATTAGTGCATAAGTATGTTAAAGTCCCGAACCTAGACTCTAATAGACATGTTTCACTTTCAAGCTTTACCAGTTATGCAATTATTATCCAGGGATAAAGTAAAATGAAACCTCTTCTACTTAGCAATATCTCCTTATCTACCTGGAAATAGCAATAGCTTACAAAGCAAGATTTAGGAACCTGTTTAGATGACAACTGTACAATTTAAAGGATAAGTATTTTTAAATGTATATGGACTTCACATGTACACTACTTTTAATATGCTTTTAGTATTCCAGATAATTTTAGTACAGTTTCAAGCAATTTAAAACTTAAAAGACTGCCACAATTATAGCTACAGATGGGTTGTCCTATTCTGAAATACGTTGCAGTCACCAGAGGCATACCTTGGCACTCAGGATGGAAACATATGCTGATACCGCCCATCATGAACTGTAGATTTTTTTGTTGTACCTGTTACTTTGCACCTAACCCTTAACACAAGAATGCTAGGAAAATTATACACAAACACATTCATATCCACAAACTTAATCAGATGCTCACATTAATATAAATACGTAAACATTCACGCTCCTATACACACGCGCATACACACACATAGCTATAGACACTTACGTTCATATGCACACAGATTCATATTCACTCACGCACATTTAATTTTTATGTAAATCGTTATCCCTTTTGTCCAGTGGTGTGCTACTGGGATCACACTGTACACTGAATGCACTGCAGAGCATCCTAGGTTAGTACATTACTGGCAGGCACATCCATTTGTTGTCTTTTCACCTGTTAGAACCTTGCACCACACTGATAAATATCCTCATTGAACCAAAGATTCTGGTCAAGATGCATAATGTGCAACTCCATATTCCAATGCTTTTAGTAGCCAATGCATTCTCTCACGGTTTTAATAGAAGCCAATGTGTATGTGCATCAGATATTAAGATGATCATTTGTGTGAGGTCTACTTTAAAGCACATATTTGTATCTATACAAAAAACTAAAACAGGCAGTTTATTTTTTAATACGTTATTCATTTGTGGTTTTCTAGATATTCTTTGTTTGTGTATTACACTATCTGTCCAGGTCAACTAGTACCTCTAGGTTAATCTAGGACTTTTCTAATTAAATTATGATTTTTAGATTAACATGGCCTAACTTGTTAGTTCAAATAATTCAGATGTTTTAGGTTAGGACGGAAGATCAATATTCTGAGTAGTTAATTCATGATATGTCACACTGGATCGACTTTTTGCAAATAGGCCTGTTGTAGGATTTAAAGCTGCCACCTTGAATTGACCTCATAAATCCAATTTTGTCAGAATCACTTTAATAAATTGACCACAAATTATTGTTTAATTGTATCTTGGAAAAACATGTTTAATTAACAGCTGTGTAATAGGCTAAATAAATATTATATTATTGAAAGGATCTAGAAACCAAAGGGCAATCCTAACTGATAAAAATATCAGGAGTGTTCTTTTTGTTCCTGTAATTTGTAAATAGATTAGTCATATAATACAATTACTCATTGCAACGATGGATCTGAAATACAACACATTGTGTGTGTGTACCTGTGTCTGTCAATCGGATAAATGCACAACACGGAAAAGAAAGGAACCGTATGTTTCAATGTTTCAAAATATTGCATCTTTCATATTGAATTGCAATGACAATGTAGCTGCCTTTTTCTATTACAGTCTCAGCCTCAACATTACTTCTTCATAGATCCCATATTTGTAATTATGGCAATCACATTAAGGCCTTATATTACATTTAAGCTAATATTATGTGTTTTCATACACTTTGGGCGATTTAGAAATAATTAGCCATACCTACATAATAGGCTTGCAACCCATGCAATAGAGTTGGACTGTCATTGGTATTAATGGAATAATTTTATATTTGTAGTTATCATGTATGACCAGTAGATGACACCATTGTCTGGTTTATATACATATAAACTACAAAATCTATAATGTTTTTTGAATATTTTTTGCATGGTTTAAAGCTGTTTCCCTGAGTTTCAATTTATTTTTATTTTTATTTTTTTGCTTACGTTCTACAGCTTAAGTATTGAGACCATGACTTGGGCGCATGTTTTTTGTCCAAGATTTTTTGCTTATATTTTTTCACTTATCACGCTGCCAACATTTTTTTCAAAAAATATGTATTATTTTTGGGCAGCCTTTGAATGTATTGATACTTATGTGGATATTTATGCTACCAAAAGTATGACCATAGCTTGTAAAACTGTAAATATGTATATAGAACCTATTTACCAAAAGGACTATAAGTATATATTAGTCCCCCATTACTTATTGACTACCTATCGATTTGGTACATTTATCTATATGTACACCACACAATAATTGGGTTATCCTTAAGCCCCAGCATACAAGGGGTTAAGATGTGGTCACTAGGGGATATACATATACCAGGATTCTGCTATATCACCCCATGGATACTGACAGAAAAAAAAACCATATAAAATATATTATCTGTATCCATACCGGAACTCACATATTGAATCTAGAATTGGATAGTACTAAGCCTGAAACCCACAATGTCACAGATATCCCCTCCCCCCAGATCGGAATATGAGTCATTTTGCAAACTTAGAATCCTAAGTATGACTCTTATTACATCCTCATACACATTCAAATATAAATATATATATAAGCCTTCAGCACACTTTCCCTGTTACAGAAACACTGATTCATTATTTTGTGATAATTTATTTTTTGAAATCTCTTAACAGCAGATTATAAGGGAACTAATATACATGCATTTATTATATATGCATTTACTATGTAACCAAAATATATGTGTTTCTTGTGAAATTCCCCGCACGGATCTTTTTGCACCCTGTAGATACTCTGTACGATCGCCGGCATTTTTAGCCGCTTGAGGTTACTCTGACAACCCCCATAAACTTTCACATGCCCTCGTGCTTTCCAGCCGATCTCTTCTCAACGCTGGAACGCAGATAGTACATAGAACAGCTGGTGAATATACTGTTACCGGGTCAAATTCACCCGCGTTTTTTTGCGATCAGCTCAGACAATCACAAGGGGCAAAGGGTAAGTGACATCTGTATACAATGTAACTAATTATGTATGGTTTGTTATTTAAACTGGTTATTTGTGTTGCACCTTTATCCTGACGAAAGTTCTGATACAGAACTGAAACGGTGATCCACTGTGGCAGTTGCCTGAATAAAAGCTAAGGTTTTTTCAACTTTATTACAAAGTCCCTGGAGTGCTATCTTTTTTACAAGACTGTTTTATATATATATATATATATATATATATATAAATAAAATTATGTTCCATTATATTAAATTTTTGTTTTTTATGAAGCTGCAGTAACAACTCTAACTTTTTATTTTTTCCCCTGGTTTTGCCTAAGCTGTGTAATGGCGCAAGTGAGCTAAGTATGTATGGACCTGTACAGGGTCCAGCCAAATAAGAGATACTTTTGCTGTTGCTCATTCTCCGTGTTCTTATGAACTTAAAATGTATGAAATATGGCTGAAAAGTCCTTTGATAAAATTCAAAGAAATACATTAAAGGCAGAGTGCTCAGGCAAACCAAACAAAGCTAGGTGTATTTTGTGATGGATCACCTGGCACCCTGACTGGGCACCTCCATCAACGGATGCTTCCTAGCTGACGCCGAGGACTATAAGCACTGCACCGAAGACCACAAGCACTGCAGACTCTACAACCGCCGTAACTTAACTGGAATCTCGCAGTTTTCCCCCCACCTTAGACCAACTGCTGACATCCGGGACCGTGTGGGAAAGACCTCTCCTCCAGGAGAGCGTATCAGGAACAGCTATTACAAGAGCTAGTGATTATCCAAGGGAGTATACGGAGTACAGCAATCCCTGGTAGTGATATAGTGGTTCCCTACAATAAGAGACAGAACTTAGTATTGAGGGTGAAGAAGCCTGAAGGTTTAATGGGACAGGTTGGCTTTATATACAATTCCTCAGGCCAGAGGCACACCCCCTGGACCTGATGGAGCACCACATTACAAACTGTACAGACCAATATGAACAATATAACAATGTCCGACACGCCCACATACAGCACACAATCTCTCCCCTTTGCCTGTGATATAATTAAGGTAGTTAATGCATTAACTTAATTAACTCACTCTGCTGCTGGGGAGGAAGGACAACACCTTTGGCTCCCTGTAGTGGATACTGCCGCAGGGGAGAGAGACCGGTTGTCTCCTCTCTCTGCAAGGTAAACTGCCACTGGGGAGGAAGGACAACACCTTTGGCTCCCTGTAGTGGACACTGCCACTGGGGAGAGAGAACCGGTTGTCTCCTCTCCCTGCAAGGTAAACTGCCGCTGGGGGGGGGGAGGACGACACCTTTGGCTCCCTGTACTGCACACTGCCGCTGGGGAGAGAGACTGGTTGTCTCTTCTCCATGAAACTCACTCTGCCGCTGGGGAGAGAGGATGACACCTTTGGCTCCCTGTACTTTGCTCAGCGGCTGGTGTCTCTCCCAACGTGCCAACTCGCCCTGTGTTGCAGGCTCTTGATCAGTAGATCATGGACCTATGTATTTCTCAGCCGCGTTGGGTCCAAAGAAAGCCAGCCGCCTCTTCAGCATAACTCTGCCTCAGTGTAGCCAAGCGCCATGCTTGCTCTGACAGAAGTTAGTTCCTTTGTAGATAGGGGCACTGTACGACTACTAGCGTTGCCCTCAATTATAAATCCATTCGTTATCGGTGTCTCCAGGATGCTGCTCCTCACACTAGGACGCCATCCCACTACTGCCACCAGATGTGACGGATCACCTGGCACCCCAACTGGGCACCTCCATCAACGGATGCTTGCTAGCTGACGCCAAGGACTATAAGCACCGCACCGGACATCCTATGTATTTCGTCTTGCAGGAGAGTTAGTCAGGGACTCAATGATAAAACCAATGCAAAAACAATCCTGCAACAAGAAAAATATATGCTGCCCCTTTCTTGTTATAGGATTGTTTTTGCATTAGTTTTATTCTTCGGTCCCTGAGGAATTCTCCTGCAAGACGAAATGCGTAGGACCAATATTGTATTTCATTTTTTATATATGAAATGTAATAAAGCAGATGATATTTTCTACAACTTTCTGCATCTGGCCTTCCATACTGAGATGACATCATCAGAAGTGGAGACGGAGTCCTAGATTAGCCCCCCACCTACCCGAGGGGAGGCACCCTAAGGCGATTTTAAAAGTCTCTATCCTGTGAGTGCAATTGAATATAGCACACAATAACTGAACTCTTAACTGTATTACACTATTATACTGTTTTGCTTCTTCTTTTTTTTTTTTTTTTACAGCCGACCAAGCAAGTCGCATGTTGATAGAACTCCTCTCGAAAATCCTCTTTTTAAGCTGTATACTGGACATTACCATTATAATTTTGGCAATAATCTTGCTAATCTTTCTGAGGAATACTCTGCCTACCTTTGAGCCTGCTTTTGCCTGAATCTGGTGGTTATCGCCCATGACAGGCTTCTTGGCGGCCTTCCAATACACGTGAGACAGGGATGGCGGCCAATCCTCTGTCTTGATCTTAAGATCGCTTGTGCTAAAGCCCTCTCCCCATCCTCTGGACCGGTGAGGGATATTCCAGTCCCCAATGGTACGCTCTTGTGACCTAATCTGCAAGGCTTCGATTTAGGAGGGTTGAGGCCCAACTACTACTATGGCTGTTATACCAGGGCCTGCTACTAGTTAGACTACCTTACAGCAACTCGCCTGCATGGACCCACTTCTTCAGGCTTTGGACTGTCTGTTTTCCAAGTTTTGGGTGATGCTACACACTGAAACTCTGGTCATACCTACCAATCCTGTTTACTGAACCAGGGGTTTCCTGATTCGGTCTGATGATCAATGTGGAAAAGCGGGGTTTCTCACAGGCATCCCCCGCGTGGCATCACTGAAGCAGAGACGCAGATGGCTAGTGCAAAAACGTCTCCTACACCTGCTCATGCTCACTTAGATGCAAGGCAAACATGGAACTCCCAGATAAAAGGGTCCCTGATAATCGAAGCTTGAGGAGTGGGGCTAGAGGAAAGCAAACACAAGCCCCAGCAGTCGGATGCAGATTGAAGCTGTGTAGAGCCTTGTGCCGAAGGGTCTTAAATTGTGGGCCTGCTAGGGAGATCCATTTATTATAGCTGAAAACTGGATTCCTTGTTTCTCTCTCTCAGAGGGCATCGGCTGAACTGGCTACAAGATCTTTCGACAGCAATGCTGCTTCCCTATCAACTTTATCAGATATGATTGGTTTGCTTCTGTTATTTTACTTTATTGATCAGCAGCTGTAGTTTATTTTAAAATATCCAGTGGTTTTTCTCTCTTATTAGTCACTTCTGTTGTCAGTTAGCACTTACAGCAACAAGACATGTTCTTTGCTCTGCTGACATTTCATGTTATCCCTATATTTGAGCGCTGTCAATTAAATTCCTGAAATTTGTCAACTCATGCTTCTATGCTATGCTATGCACAACCAAAAAAAGAATGCTAAAAATAACTCAACCACTAAAACTGTGTTTAACCCTACAATGTAAACATTGCAGTTAAAACATTTTTTAACATTATAGGATTAAAACTACAGAGCAGCTGCATCCAGACAACTTTGTTAAAATAAAGTGGTTAAGGTGAGTTAAGTGGCCCTTTAAGTAATATAACTCCAGAAAGAGGTGGAACTAGGGGAGAGAGGGAGGTGGAGCTTGGGGGACAGAAATAGATGGAGCTTGGGAGGATAGAAAGAGGTGGAGCTTGGGGGGACAGAAAGAGATGGAGCTTGGAGGAGAAGGGGAGATGAGTTGGGGATAGAGGGAGATGAAGTTGGTGGGGAGAGAGGGAGATGGAGCTTAGGGAGAGAGGGAGATGGAGAACATACAATAGTTTTCCTTAATTTAGTGGCTTTCTTAGATTATTATGCATATATATGAATGTCAATTAATATAAGTGTATTATTTTACCATTTATATTTATTATAACTATAATTGTGTATATGAAGTACTTGTTGTGCAATACATACACAAATGTTAATATATTACACTTGCATAAACCATATACACACTTCAGCCCATATACACACTTCTATATGATCGCTACATCCCCTATACACACACTCAATACCTCCTGGCAATAGGGGCAGTGAAGGCACTGACCACAGAGCTAAGTACCTGTGAGGTAGTGGTGGACATGGGGTGGGTCCTGGGGGCTGAGGGCTTTATCTGTGTAAGGGGCCCCATAATATTTGATGAAAGCCCCGCTGATAGATTTACATAATCTATTTTACTACGCTTACACATTTTTTTTGGATCTGTCTCAAAGCTGAATACATATTTATCTATATCATGAATAATTATAGAATGGAAATTCATCTTTTAGAGTAGTTTAATATTCTGCTTGCATTATTTCTCTTAAACGTGTAAGCTGGGTAAGCAGTACTCACACAAAAGGTCCCTCAATGCTGGCATGGGAGCGTGTACATTTTACGGCTTTAATCTAATTACAAAAATATATCATAGTATGCATACTTATTTTGCAATTTACTACTTGCAATAAATAAAAGCCCAATCCATTAAAAGGAATGACAAGTCCTCGCATATCTTTTGATGAGGCAGACAATGTGACGAGGCTCTAATTTTGTTGTACAGTTCTATGGTAAATGTTGTCATTAAGTAAATAATAATAGTAGTAATATTTATAAACCAACATAATCTTAGCTGAAAATTTCTTTGTGGTATGTTACCCATCCAAGATACAAAATGTATTTTCTTTTACAATTTTACCACCTTATTGTAAAATAATCTTAATCCAATAAAATGTTTCTGTGGTGCTATGTTATTTTGCACTTTCCTATATTATAACACAGGTATATTTTTCCCATCTAGGAATACTTTATATACTGGATTGATGATTTGGGCGTTTTAGTTCAAGAGTCTTTATAGAAAGAAGATATTACACTATTTGACATTTGTAGTGAATATACATTGGAAATGTCATTCACAGCCTTCACTAAGTCACTAATCCTTACAAATAACCTCTGTATTTCCCTTATGTTGAACACTGACTTTTACAAACATCATCCTGACGTCTTTGAATCGAACATCTAACAATGTACGTAATAAACTTATGTCACTCTCCTGTCATTTCTAATATAAACCAATCTCAGTATCTCTTTCTCAGCTATGGACAGAATAGATAAACAATCAGGCATTGGTAGCTGAGCAAATACAAAATTCATTTATTCTCATAGAATAAATTTTGATCTATACAGAATGCCCATATTAGAGAAACTACATAGTTTTCAAAGGAGCTGGTAATATAAGAAAGGACACTTGCCTTTTGAATACATTTTTTTGTATCTATTGAAAATACTGAAACGATAAACAATGATTAATTTCTTAATATGTATTTATTTTTTTAAAGCACTTAAATAGGACATTATGAAATAGAATTGGCTGATTCTTTTTTTTACTAATGTGTAGACAACCCATTTACAAAAATCTACTGTTCAATTTTGGATGAGTATCCTTAGATACTCAAAGAATATCCTTAAATATCCACAGGGTTATTCCCTTTAAATAAAAATTGTCAGGGAATTCAACGTGATTTCAAAGTAAAGTCAAAGTAAATTTCAATTTTAGACAAAAATTGAACTTAGACAAAAGAACTGGAAACAACCCTGACTTGGAGAATGTAAATAAAAATGTAAAGAAAATAAGTATGAATAGCTGTAAATATAATAATAATAATATCAGTGATAATACATCCATTCTGCACAATCCAAAAATAATAATAAAATAATTGTAGCAAAAGCTATATCAAACCAGTCATATTCCGGTATGAAAATAATCAGAAAGTACAAGGATCTTCAGGAAATGAGAATGAAGGAGACGAAGTAACGAGAGACTGAGCACTGGGTAGCAAAGCAGAACAGAATTTGACCAAAGGGATTCCAAAGTGGATGGTTAAGGAAAATTTGCTTAGCTCTCAATTTAAGAGGAACAGTTCCAGCTCTTTCTGTTCCTCTATTTTATCCTAATGTCCCTCTCTTCTAGGAGCTCCATCTTGTTGGTAATGTGTCTTTAAATTACAAAATGAATGTCGTTAGAAATCAGTATGTGTAAATAATATACATTGTTCTTGTTCGGAATTACTTTTTAGTTCCATAAATTGTTATTAGCAAGCCGCTTACAATTTATCAGAATAGCCACCCCCCTGGTCATACTCCACCCACACCCTAAAATGAATATGTCCCACTCTGTCCATTTAAAAAGTTGGGAGGTATGCTGTTATCAGTACATCTTTTGACAAGACTTTTTGATTTCTCAACCACTAAAGGCTACTGAAAAGGTTATTACTGAAGAGTGTCAAAGATGGGGACTTGTTAAAAATTTAAATCTGAAGGATAATTAAATCTGTAATTCAAACGTATCAAGAACAGGAATAAATAAAATGGGGGTTTACTCAGAATGACAAAAACTACTGAAAGCTGTCAGTATATGGCATATATATACATGCACACAAACTGTACATATTTTATATATACGTTTGCACTAGTTTAAAGTATATATCTGGCAGAACTAACTCTAGCTAGTTCTGAATGAATAACCCTCAAAGTGTTTATGATGCTTAAAGGACCACTATAGTGCCAGGAAAACATACTCTTTTCCTGGCACTATAGTGCCCTGAGGGTGCCCCCACCCTCAGGGACCCCCTCCCGCCCAGCTCTGGAAAGGGGAAAAGGGGTTAAACTTACCTTTTTCCAGCGCTGGGCGGGGAGCTCTCCTCCTCCGATCCTCCTCCGTTCCTCCCATTCGGCTGAATGCGCACGCGCGGCAAGAGCTGCGCGCGCATTCAGCCGGTCGCATAGGAAAGCATTTGCAATGCTTTCCTATGGACGCTTGCGTGCTCTCACTGTGAAAATCACAGTGAGAAGCACGCAAGCGCCTCTAGTGGCTGTCAATGAGACAGCCACTAGAGGAAATAGGGGAAGGCTTAACCCATTCATAAACATAGCAGTTTCTCTGAAACTGCTATGTTTATGAAAAAATGGATTAACCCTAGCTGGACCTGGCACCCAGACCACTTCATTAAGCTGAAGTGGTCTGGGTTCATTAAGCTCAGTGTGCAATTAAATGATTGTTCACTGATTACAGTAGAAGAGAATCCATTTTGCTTTAAAAAAAAAACAAGAGCTCAGTAAGTATTCGGCTTTTCATAAGCCTCCAAAATATTCAGCTTGAGAGAAATTAAGTAATGAAAACATTAAACAAATAAAAAATATGTACAATGAGAAGGAATGGCAGGACAAAGTTACTGACAAACGTAATATGTGTTATAAACCTTTTGAAAGCTTGTATTTCAAATATTCTACTTTTCTTCAGGATATGTCAGTACCTGTGATTTTCATTGAATATAACCCAAAAAATGATGAAATTCTTACACAGGATACCATAGTTTTTCACAATCCTGCAACTGTCATCAAAAAAACTAAGTCTTCAGCGAATACTATTCTAGCACCCTTCTTTTCTACTCCTTCCCTTACCATATGTCACTCTACCCCACTCCCTCTAGCATTTAATCTCACTGAGCAGGGCCTTCAATCTCTCTGTTCCTGTGCGTCCAACTTGTCTGGTTACAATTACGTGTTTGTTAGTCCACCCATTGTACAGCACTGCAGAATTTGTTGGCGCTATATATAATAATAATAATAATAATAATAATTGAACCTCATAGCAGACTTCATGCCAATTCTGAATACGAAGGCAAATATAATGGCTTCACTGAAAAGAGACATTCTGATAATTTCCAATATATCATCATTGTATTGAACCTAGTAAATATCCTGTTACCAATAAAAGACGACATTGGTTTAACACTTATAACACCTCTGTATAGAAGAGGCTTTTAGGCCACACAGAATGCATACCCTAACTTTACTTCTGAATGTGTCCATCAACACTGTTTGATAGTGATGTCCCGAACTGTTTGCCGAACTGTTCGCCACGAACTCCGGTTAGCAGACACATTCCAGCCAATCAGCAGCAAACCCTCCCTCCCAGACCCTGCCACCTCCTGGACAGCTCACTAAGAATGCAGCTTCAAAATGGATGCTGTCCAGGAGTTGGGAGGGTCTGGGAGGGAGGGTCTGCTGCTGATTGGCTGGAATGTGTCTGCTGACCGGAGTTCGTGACGAACCGTTCGTAGCGAACCGTGGCAAACAGTTCGGCGAACAGTTCGGGACATCACTACTGTTTGGTGCTTTGCAGCAGTATACAGGTCCTTTTAAATTATTTTTTCTAGCTTACAAAAACTAAAACCATACTTTTACTTGCACGTTCATCTGCATTTTAAAGTCACAATTAAATATGTTTGAGTACATAGTTAAAAGAAACATCCTACATATTAATATTTAGTTTAATATTTAGTTTAGAAAAAAAATGATAGTGTGCTTGCATTCTTTTAAACCAATGATGCAGGTATCAGGGACACCCTCCAAATATCTCATAATAAATACTTAGAAAATCAATACGATACCGCACTCCACATCTAATATTTGCAGAAATGTCTTCGTTGTTGTTTATTAATATAGTATTGCCACACACGGTCATGTAAGAAGATATAGTAACAAGAACATATGAGCATAAACATATGAGCATTAAAAACTGACCATCAGAAGATATAGGTGCCAAAAAAATATAAAGTGCAAATCTAAAGTGTCTAGTGTTCAGCATACCAATATGGTGTGCATTAAAAAGTACAGGATACAATAAAAATCACCCTAATACACACAAAGATATATAACCTGATGCATCTCTTAGAGAGACAATTGCTGGATATGCTAGAAGTTCCACAATTTATGGTTAAAGACTCTGCACTGAAAATGAAGAAAGTTCCTAGTGGAAACTGTTTAGTTCATAGTTGTAATTGATGTATCCCATGAATATTCAGTAATAATAAAAATAACAATAAAAATATTATTAAAAAAAATAGAAAGAATTAAAAAAATTAATGAAAATGAAGAAATTAAAAATCGAAGATTATGCTAGCTTCAGTGTACAGATAATCTTAATTTTAATAATGACAGGAGGCGAGTATTTTGCATAATCTTTCTTTACTAACTCCATAGCAGCAAAGAAAAGAGTGACATAACTGAGAACCAATCACAATGTAGTATAGAGTATAAGAGGTGTAACGTATGACATCATTTCCTCTTTAAAGCATGCGACATCACAAGATCACAATGCAGAATAACAATAAAGATAACGTATAACATGAAGATAGAACGTAAACGTATGAAGAATTCTTGACAGGGAAGAGTTCTTGATGTCAAGTGACGATCTTCCATGACAAGACGATGATGATATCTTGAAGGAAGTCTTTAGTGTCCTGATTCATCTGGTTAAACTGAAACGAGAATGTAAAAGGGTATTCGATTCCGGAGATGGTTGTGTAAAACAATGAGTTGTCTATCCCTTATGATTAAGTAAACCATCATACTGCAATAGAGCAAATACATTCCTCCCATCTATTGATGCTAACTAAGCCATCCCACCCATATGGAATATCTGTATTAATTGTAAGAAACAACTTAGGCATTTAGCACAAATAACATGTGAATAAAGAGATAGAAATATAGATGAAGACAGAGGGGGGGAAGAGCGAAAGAGAGCAGGGAGGGAAAATACTCGCCTCCTGTCATTATTAAAATTAAGATTATCTGTACACTGAAGCTAGCATAATCTTCAATTTTATCACATGACAGGAGGCTTCGTATTTTGCAATTTCAACGCTGAGAAAGTAGAGCAAAAGCTGGATTAGATGGAGGACGGAAGTAGAACGTCCTAAAGGTGGATTCTCTGGTCCAGTCCGCCACTCGTAAAATATCTGGAAGGGAGGCCCCCGCCGCGTAGGCGGAAGAGGCCGCAGCCCCTCGGACTGAGTGTGCTCCAAAAGCCTGGTCTATCCCGGCAAGGGCCAATAGCCATCTAACCCATCTGGCCAACGTAGTAACCGAGACTGGAGCGTAGGGGCGGACGTAAGAGATGAGAAGTTGACGATTGGAAGTAGGCCGCAACGTCGCGGTGGCTTCCACGTATTGACGAAGAGTAGAGACCACACAGAGCTGTGGGTCTGAGGGAAAAAAGGGGTAAAAAACAGAGGAAGAGTCAGATTTTGTGCGTCTAGAGATCTGGAAGGTTACTCCCGCTGGGCAGAAGGTAAATGCGTCGGCATCAAAAGCGCGTACATCGGACACCCGACGAAAGGAGACTAGACAGAGTAGGAAGGTGAACTTTGCTGTAAGCTGGCGGAGTGATAAGTTCTCGTTAGGGGGCCAGTCCCGTAAGAACTGTAAGACTATGCCAATGACCCAAAGTCTTGAGTATTTGGGTTCCGGGGGGCGCCGAAGGTGCATGCCAGGGAGGAGTCTACAGATGAGCCCACTGGCCCACTGGTGTCCCTTGAGTCGGCGTATGGGCCACTGAGATATCACGTATCACGTTGATGGACCGGTAGGGAGAGGTGAGGAAATTCATGATGGAGGGAATAGGTGCCGTAAAGGGATTGAGATCCCGTCCCAGACACCAAGTAGTCCAGCAGTGCCATGCTGATAAGTAGCACCTCCTTGTTCCTGGCGCCCATGAGTCCCATAGGAGCTCCCTAGTTTCCTGCGATAAATCCTCGGTTCGCCAGGAACCCCTGAAAGAGTCCAGGCCACCAGGGGAAGTCGGCCCTCCCGGACCAGCGGATGGGGTAGTCCCATCGGGTTCCTGAGAATGGACGGAGTATCTGGTAGGAGGAGGGGATCCCTGTTCGACAGCTCCAGAAGATCCGGGAACCATGGTTGGCTTTGCCATAGAGGCGTGATGAGGGTCAGTATCACCCTCTGCATGCGGATTCGGTGGAGAACCCTCGCAATCATTGAGAATGGAGGGAAAGCGTAAGCCCCGTGTTGTGGCCATTGTTGCAGAAACGTGTCCGTTGCTAGACTCTCCGGATCTGGGAGCCAACTGAAGAAGTCCTTCGTCTGACGGTTGTTGCGGGAGGCAAATAAATCCAGGGAGAAGGGGCCCCTTTGTGCATCTAGAATCGTGAAAACATGAGTGTCTAGTTGCCAGTCGCTGGCATCCCTCCAGTGGCGTGAGTACCAATCCGCTGTCGTGTTGGTTTCTCCTGGTAGGTGTTCCGCTAACAGCGTGATGTTGCGAGGCAGACAATAATCGAAGATTTCCTTTGTGAGTTCTACTAGTGCTTGGGAGCGGGTGCCTCCAAGACGGTTGATGTATCTTACCGCCGAGACGTTGTGCATCCGGATGCAGGATGCAGCAGTTGGATCATTCTTTTGCCAGACTGCGAATGGCGAACGATCCCGCCAGGAGCTCCAGACAGTTGATGTGCATCGAAAGTTCTTGGGGAGTCCACACTCCCCCCGTGGAGGAGGTGCCGTCTGTTGCTCCCCAACATGAGTGGCTGGCGTCTGACTCCAATATGAAGTCTGGTTGGTTTCCGAATATCGCCCGGCCATTCCAAGCCTGCATGCAGTTCAGCCACCAGTGCAGTTCCTCCCGAACCTCGTCCGACATGGGGACTGGCTGGTCGTATGTTGGGTCTTTGTGAAGGAACTTTGCCTTGAGGCGTTGCATGGCTCTGTAATGCAGGGGTCCAGGAAAGATGGCCTGGATGGATGATGAGAGAAGGCCCACGATTCGTGCTAGTAGTCGTAAAGGTATGGATGTCAGTCGAAGTACCTTCCGAATTTCTCTGCGGATGGTAGCAATTTTTGCGGCCGGAAGGCGTAGAGTGCACGATGTTGAGTCTATCTCGAACCCAAGGAATTCGATCGACTGAGCGGGAGTCAGTGATGACTTGGGGCCATTGATAACAAAACCCAGTGAGTCGAGTAGGTGTACGGTGTAGTCTGTATGCCTCTGTAGGGTCCTTGCATCCTCGACTATCAAGATGTCGTCGAGGTAGACAATGCATCTTATGCCTTGGGCCCTCAGTCTCGCCATTACCGGCTTCATCATTTTGGTGAAACACCATGGGGCCGAACTGAGGCCGAACGGGAGACAGGTGAATTGCCAAGGTGTCCCGTGCCAGTAGAAGCGGAGATATGAGCGGCTCCTTTCGTGCACAGAGATGGTGAGGTATGCGTCCTTTAGGTCTAGACGCGTGAACCAGTTGTTGTCTCGCAGTAGGTCCCGGAGAAGATGGATACCCTCCATTTTGAAGTGGCGGTATACCACGTAGGAATTGAGCTCCTTGAGGTTGATGACGGGTCGGAATTCCCCGGTTTTCTTCCTGACCAGGAAGATATTGCTGTAGAACCCGGTTGAGTCCGGAGCTGGTTGGATGGCACCCTTGGAGTGTAAGTCCTGAAGTTCCGTGTCTATCAAAGAAGCGTCCGCCCGTGAAAACTGAATCAGGTGTGGTGGTGCCTGTTGGAGTGGCCTCGTCTCGAACTCTATTTGATAGTCCTGCACCGTCCGAAGTATCCATGTGTCGGAGGATAGGTCTGCCCAATTCTGGAAAAAAAGAGAAACACGACCTGCGATATGGCAAGGGGTTAGAGGTAGTACAGAATGGTAACTTACCGTTGTAGAATCTCGCTCGGGAGCATCCTCGGCCGCCACGGCCATGGTCCAATCCCCTGAACTGATGGAATCGATGGCGTGCAGATGGATCTGTGTAGAATGGTTGTGACCTGGTTGTGCGGGGGCCGGATGGCCAGAAGCGGCTGGTGGCACGGCCCCACTGCCGACCAGCCCTCCCAAAAACACCACGGGTGTTGTGGCCGCGAAATACTTTCCGCATTGTTGTTTGTGCCTTATTGAGGGAAGTGAATATGGTGACCCTCTTATTAAGCTCAGTAAGGAAGGCCTCGCCAAACAATTTGCCCTGTGCCAAGGGGCCCAATTCTTTATCCCCCAGTTAGACAAGCTTGTCATCGATTCTGAAAAGTGCTGCTCGGCGCCTCTCTGAAGAGAGGGCCACATTAGTGTTCCTGAGGAAACAGAAGCACCTTTGTGCCCACTCTCGGGTATCCCGTGCCCACTCACGCACCATATCTGGGGAGAAGTCATCAGCCCTTTCATAGGCATCATCTGCCATATCCATGATCCTCGCCAAAGGCCCGATGGCATCTAATAGTTTGTCCTGAGCTCCCTTGAAGCCACGTTCCACGCCCTTGCGTGGGTTCCGACCCCCGCGAGACATGAATGTGGTCATAAGCGGGTCGAATTCGGGGGTGTGTGCTACCTTATCTGGTAGGCTCGGGCGAGGACATTCAGATCTCATACGCTTTCTCACTTCTTTGTCCAGAGACTTCCGGAGCCAGAAGTGCATGAATCTGGTCAAGTGTTCGGGTGGCGTCCATTCTTCCGAACGGGGATGGCGAATGTTCCTAGGATCGAACATTCGGAGGCCAGAGTTGTCCAAAAATATTTCTGAACCCTCTTGTGGGGTGTCTAGGGTTGTGGCCCTGGAGTCCTGGGGCTCACCCAGGGTCTGATCCCCTATAGAGTAAGGGTCAGACTTGGCAGCGGAGTAGTCGGATTCCTCCTGGGCGGAGGCAGCCGCCTGCCATTCGTCAACCACGGCTAGAGCGTGTGATGGACCTGCGTCCTCTTCCCCAGAGGAAGCCTGAGCGGGTTTTTGGGATGATTTGCTTGTGTCTCGTCTGCGTTTAGCAGGGGCCTTTCCTTTGGATTTACGTGGTCCCATAGCCTCGCCTTTCCAATGGCGCTTAGGGGGGTGGGAGCGTTCCCTGGAGGAATCGGAGTCTTCCGAATCTGCCCCATAATGAGCCCGTTTGGGAATGGGCTTAGATGCGTCTTGTTCCAATTGGAACGACTTAGCCAAAGCCTTTTCCATGGACGCAGCTACCGCTGCTGCAATCATGGCCTGGAGATCTGAGGGATTTTGGGATTCTTCCATGTTGTTAATCACACATGGGGCTCACCCGGTGAATAAGCGTGAGGGCACTTGTGGTACTTGTGGCACAAAATGGGGAGGCCTGGGGACCAGGGGGTGGTGTAAAATAGGTAATGGTTAACCTGAAAGCGTTATGTGACTGGTAGGTCAAGCGAGGGCTGTCACTGGGGCTCACCCAGGAATTTGGAATCCTGCATAGACAGGTCTGTTCAGCAGCACATGAAAAGGGGCTCACCCCTGCCAGAATAAGGGTATTCCCACTGACTGAAACCGACCCCAAGTGCAAAGCACTAACCTGATACTGGTCCCACAGTGAGCTGATAAGGCTGCAGAGTTCAGGAGAGTATTCCAGAGTATCTGGAAGTAATAATAGGCTGGAGTAGTAAGCAGGATAGTAGTAGCCGTTTAAAATGGCCGCCGGACTGAAAGCAGTAAGAAATGGGAGGTTTAGTACCTCCCCTAGATGTTAGGGTGGCAAAAAAATTAACCGAACGGCGGGCGTTCGAGCGTACGAATCCGCCAAACGCAAGCGTTCGGCTAATACGCACGAACGCAAGCGCCTAATATGAGGTGTTCGTGGGAATTGCCGAACGTTAGGCGTTCGTCAAAGGGAACAAGTCTATGCAAACAGAAAGTGCCGTTTGCGAAAAAGAGGTGCGAATGACACTGCGTGCGAAGGCGGGAAAGAAACCCGCAAATTTATCTGACACTGGGAAGTATAGCTGAAAACGGCGAGAATGCCGTTAAGACTCCCTGAAAAGGGTAGGCTAGTAAAAGCAGTGGAAAAGGTCCCAGAGCCAGAGGGGTGGGGGGGAAGCCCCCAAAGGTAACAAAACACAGAAAACACTTAAAGCAACATAATGTAATAAATGTAATAGTAATAGTAAATAGGAGACAATAGTTCTTAGAAATAGATGACAAATAGTGTAAGGACAGAGAGGAAAAAAACAAGTCTGTACTTATCTTGTGATGGAGCAGCAAAGAAAGAGGAAATGATGTCATACGTTACACCTCTTATACTCTATACTACATTGTGATTGGTTCTCAGTTATGTCACTCTTTTCTTTGCTGCTATGGAGTTAGTAAAGAAAGCTTATGCAAAATACGAAACCTCCTGTCATGTGATAAAATTGTGTATAACAAACAGAAAAAAGTGTATATACACACAAAAAAGCAATAGATATAAGTCACTGATAGGTCTTAGGAACCTGTCTCACCCATTCTGTGGTAGAAATAAAGAAAGAAACTCTGATTTAACATGCAGTTCTTCAGTAGAATAAACTCCTGTATGAAGGTCCAAGATCAATTCTTATTGGATTTCTGCACCTTTGGCCGACTACATGTCCTAATGTCCCTTCACACGGTCAGGGCCATAGAAGGGATTCTACATCCTGAGCGCGCAGCCCCGGATTCACCTGATACCTCCTTACCTCCATACCATCTCGACGGACCTCCTAACCGTGTGAAGGGACATTAGTAGTCGGCCAAATGTGCAGCAATCCAATAAGAACATTTGTACTAACAGCATTAAGTCTTTTGGGAAAAGTATCTATCAGTCTTCCACTTTGACTTGAAATAAGGTTTCCTCTACTTTTTGGCAGTTAAACTCTAAGTGTGATCAGGTGAAATAGGTGTGTGATAGCCCCTGTGCCTTCTGAATGCCACCGTACCCATGTTGACATCATTCTGCCATATTTTTTTGATGACCATTTAAATGTTTTCCACCTTACATACACCTTGATGCTCACACCATGTTTTAATACCACACTGGTCTGCATAATTTCAGCGACATTGGTCGCATACCTATTAGTGTCATAATTGACACATTCCTAAAGGAACATATCTGGGGCTATTTAGGGCCCCTCTGACCACTCTTCTTTGGCCTGTCATGATCTCTGTTACCAGAGAGTGCATTTTGAAATGTTGTGTGTTTGTTCTGGTTTTGACGCTGTTTTCCATGAAAATGTTTTTCAACATAAAACCGATGTCACATTAAAATAATTGTATTTGAGTTTATATTTTTCAGATTATGGATCACAAAATAAGAGAATTGGTCAAGGGTATGCCAAGTTAATGTTAATTTTCTCTCTTCCGATGACTTCTTATGGAGTACACTGTCCCAGATCCATGTGCACGTGTTAAAAAATTAACAAAAAAAAAGCCTATAAACAAAAAAACTAAAACCTGCTTGTAATCAAGATAAAGAATTCAGGGAGCTGGGGCAAAACAAAAATGTTAAAATAAAAAATAAATAAGCAAAATCAGCAATCTCTTTTCAGTTCTACATCCCAAAATGGTTACTTAACAAAATAGTTCATTCTTGTTCTAGATATGCATCATCTACACACCATGCACCAGGAAAACTAACAAGGGTAAGGCAAAACATTGTGTGGAATTTGTGTACCAACTCCAATACACAGGTCAGGTGACAAATGCTAGTAGAGTAGAGTCATGTTCACTCAACAACATTCTTCTCATTGGACCTGCTCTCATGTCAACAACAAACTGCACATAATTCTACAAAAATGTAACAGTGTACAGTATGTAGCAGAATGAGAAGTTAAAATTATAAACATTATTTCACCATTTACTGCAAGTTATAAAATTCATATTTTAGGAACAACATTGGTCACCAATATTGAAGATGTAAAGCTCAATAATTAAGTTCACAGAAATCAACATTTACTGTATACATGAACAGATATATTTTAAAGAAACCAAGAGCATTAGTATAAAAGTCATCCTTTCCATTAGCAGTTCATTAACTGCTACCATGAGCAAGTTAGACAATGTCAACATTTCAATAAATCTGCAGTAAGATCAACAGATTTGTGGACCACTAGGGTAAATTGATCTACTAGTATCACACTGGTATCTTGAAACCTTAAACACACTAAAACCAAGAAAAAAACATGGCAGGTATAATAAGTATGGTGAAGACTAAAGGGGATAATGTATTTTGAATCAGCCCGTCAAGAATGCTCATATACATGTATAACCTTGCCAACATGGGATTCATTGATTAAAACCACAATGTTTTTTCCAATTCCTATTACGTGTCTGTTGTTTCTTTTAGAAATATTAAATACAAGGTTGTCAAGATCAAATGTTTCTCATATATCCATATTTAGAAGTGTTTGAGTTTGATTCATTTAACGTTTAGAAATTAAATCTATAAGTATGTGTAAGATTAGGTTGTGCACATGCCTAAGTTTTTTTTCAATAAAAGGATGAAAATGTATTGATCAGTTAATCATAAAATATATTTAATAAAACAAGCAATCATGTCTTAAATATTTATTGAAATTGCCATCTATTTTTTTTCTTTATACACATTCGAAATATAAGGCTTAAAATTCCAATACACTATAGGTAAAAATGTGTGTACAGACATATATTTACTTTTCATGTGTTTTCTTTTTATCAGCCAGATCAGGAACAATCAAAATTAGCACAGACTACAGGTAGAGCAATAAATTGAGGGCAAGGATGACAGATCACCACATGTGCCATACCATGGAACACATGGCACAACATGTGTCTTCTTTCTTGTACCTTTCACCCGCTTTAAGTGACCTGTGTGTAATGTGGGAATGCTTTTAAACTAAGCTAACAACTTTACCTAGCAATAATCAAGACCTATTTATACCACCTGTTACAATAAAAGATATTAGAAGCATTATTCTCCCTGTTTTGCTTTGATTGAGTAAAGTTCCTATTTGATTCTGCTAACCATACATACATTTCAGTATTTTACAGTTACAGATCATGGAACATTAGTTTTGCCTCTATAAAATAAAATGTGAAACTAAGAAAGGACTTGAGAGTTTTGTAAAAGGCACCCTTGAATTTGTGGCTGTTGAAAAAATTAATAGGACATACATTTTAGGTGTGAAAAGGCTAAGCGTAAAATTGTTGGGCTGAAAAAAAAACAATTTAGAAAATCAAGGATAACTTCTAATATTTAAAAGACTAACTGGCATTTGTTGTGACAAAACAAATACTTGTTTGGAGTTAAAATGCATTGGGAAGGGGAGTGGATCCAGTGATGATAGACACCTTATTATAATTTTTTATAATATGCTCTAAGATTGTTGAGAGGAAACCTGTTTAGAACATACTTATCCTACTACTGTCTAATTTCAAAGTAGACATCTGTTTGTCTTAAAGCTGGATATGTAAGGGCAAATTGTATCTAAAAGACCTATAGGTCTGCTGATCAAACAAGAATGACTACTTTCACTGCAGAAATTCGATATACATTCATACTGCGGCAGAGATACCTCTGCCACGTGTTCCTGGAGGGGCCTGCTGGCTCGCCTCCTGCCCAAAGACTATGGGCCCTGCAAAAGACCTGTTAAAAGACTTGGTTCGTGGGATTTCCCTGTATGGTTCAGAAACCTAACAAACTCCCGAACTAAAGTTACTTGTTATAAAATATACATAATTAAATACATGCATGTTTTCATTGGGGGTATATCTACTAAACAGTGATTTAAAACATAGCTTTCGACACTATAGGCACCCAGACCACTTCATCTCATTGAAGTTGTCTGGTTGCAGTGACCCTGACCCCCTTAGTCCTGCAATGTAAAACTAAGACTGGCTCTAGTGGCTTCTCTAATTGTACAGCGCTGCGGAATATGTTGGCGTTTTATAAATGCCAGTAATAAAAAATAAAAATACTAGAGGTGCTTCCTGGAGATTGAAATGACTCTGAACGTCCTCACGCTCTGCATGAAAACATCTAGTTGGAAGGCACTGAGGCAATGTTTTCCTATGGGGTAGGCCTAATGCTGCTGGCATCAGGTAAATGAATAAAGGGTTAACCCTTTACATCGCCGGTGGGTGGGCAGAGGAACACGTTAGTATTAGGAATACATCTTTGCATACGTAACACTAAAGTGTTCCTTTAATAGGATGGAATAACTATACATTTTTTTCCATTTATTCATTTTTTTGAATGAATGTTTTATTGATGTGCAATATTTATCAGGGACTCATCAGAGAATAAAAACACATGGGACTTTGTAAAAGCATTTTAAAATAGTGAGATATTCAGGATTGTAAAGATATTCTTACATTGTTTGTCAGCATCATACACTACTTTCCTCTTAGAGATGACTTAACTTTATAAGTGGCCCAGTATGGGAAGCAGTTGAAAGGACACCGTAGTCACCAGAACAACTACAGCTTATTGAATTTGTTTTGGTGAGTAGAATCATTACCTTCAGGCTTTTTGCTGTAAACACTGTCTTTTCAGAGAAAATGCAGTGTTTACATTACAGCTTAGTGATAACTTCACTGGCCACTCCTCAGATAGCTGTTACAGATCCTTCCTGGGTCATGGGTGCGTAAAATGCATCCAAACATTCAGTGTCTCCTCCCTCTGAATGCAGACACTGAACTTTCCTCATAGAGATTCATTGATTCAATTCATCTCTATGAGGAGATGCTCATTGGCCAGGGCTGTGTTTGAATCATGCTGGCTCTGCCCCTGATCTGTCTCTTTGTCAGTCTCAGCCAATCCTATGGGGAAGCATTGTGATTGGATCAGGCTACCACTTCTGCTGACAGCTTGTTTTTCTGAGGCAAACAGCATGCAGATCTACAGCTTCAGGCTTGAATACAGTAAGATTTTGCTATATTTATGGAGGCATGAGGGGCCCAGGGGGGCTAGATGGTGGTTTTGACGCTATAGGGTCAGGAATACATGTTTGTGTTCCTGACCCTATAACGATCCTTTAAAACATGTCTCTATGAACATACACTGCTCATAGTCATGAGAGAGTTAGACATGTATTTTAGGAAAGTGTCAACTTTATTGCGGTGTCTGTAACAAGAGTTAATTTGGGATTGCCAGAAGTTTAAGGCCTAGATTAGTATTTGTGTATAGAATTAGTGTGTGCATGCATTTGTATTGCCAATATGTGTTTGAGTGCAGGTGAGTGTTTGTATATTCAGTGTCTGTATGTATGTGGGTGTCAATGTGTGTGAGGTGTATGTCACTATCAATAGATAACCCCTCATCCTTTAAACAGTAGGGATTCTTCACAAAAATGAAGACAACTGCCCTGCATCTAAACCATTTTTTAGTCCTATGTTTATCAAAACCTTGTTTTTAATATTTATGTTATCTATTTGTTTATGACCACAGAAAAGTATTTAAGGAAATATTCCTTAAATGTATGAAGGAATATGGCTAGTATCTCCAGTAATCCTTATCTTAATACACAGTTTTACAGTCGTGAGGTTACACACTTTAATATATGCATCTGGTAAAATTGTCTTGACAGGACAATTGAAGCACACATTGTGCAAGAATGCATGTGAGCGAGAGACATACAAATAAATTATCTTCTTTTTCTTATTGCAACAATGCTTTTTTTTAAATTCAAAAATATGCTTTAGCCCCACCCCATTGTCTCTCATGTTCAAGAGGAAGTCATGAGGAAACGTACAACTGTACATTATACCATGAACCTATGGACCAAGCTCATTAAAGCAGATGGTAATATAATCACGTGTGAGAATTCCCAATCATAATTTCAATAAAAATAACACACTATTAACTTGTATTAAAATAGAGACATTTAAAGGAGAGTATTTTTTTTTACGTACATTCTTACTTTGTTATACCCATTAAAACAGTTATCCACTCTGCAGTGCCCATTAAACATTATTTCCTGATCAAAAAGTGTGATGTTTATTTCTAGCTAGATTACAATAGAGTATGATTGAAATGTACCTTTAATAATATATTCTCAAAAAACGAAACTCTAAGATTAACTTGTATAAACTATAAAACATGAAGTGGGTTAAGGACTGTTTCAGATAATGTACCAATAATAGTAAGAGTTAGAATAATTTATAGGTAAGAGCCATGGGTTTGTTAGGACAATCCATATTTGAGTACCCTGTACTACCATACTGGCTTTCCCAAATGAACATCACTTTTGGCAATAGAGAAAGGTCCCAAGTGGCATAGTGCACGTATACAACTAAAGATGCCGCAGCTGGACAAGGTCATTAGAGGTCATTTGTGCCCATTTGAAAGTGGTTCTGCTGCATTTAGCCACCCCTTTTTGGCAGGCTGACAGAATTACATGTCTGCATAAGGTCCAAGCATAACAGGGTGACTCTGGCCATTTTGGGCACACTGACATGCATCTTTTTTAGATCTGCCCCATATGCTGGAGTACATGCATTTTGATTACCATGCACGCAATATACAATGGATCACTACATATTGGCAGTCCATGTATTCAACTTGATGATCTATAAACCTTACAAATAAAGAGTTCACATAAAAGGTGCATTGATACAATAGTAATCCAAACATCTGCAATATGGATTTGTGTCAGTATACCATGACAGTAAAACATTCTTTTTCTCTGCTTTGTTTTCACCTCGAAAATTGAATAGGCTATTAAAAGCTTATCCTTCAGAATCATCACCTCTATTCATCTCTATTGTATTAAACTCTTCAAAGCTTTATTTTTGCAAGGTAAATAGCATTCACTGAAGCGGTCTCATGGCATTACATGTCTGGCAATAATTGGCTACTGTACAGAGAAATAATGTAGATATGGCACAGCAAAGCTAATAAGGGTTTCTGCAATAATTCACATTCACACTGAGGTAACTCAGAGCTCTCAGTGGTAGCTTATCTTCTTGAGGTACAACAGCTTTTGGAAGGCCAGATATAATCCTGGATTAGATATTGATGTGTACTGTACATGGCCTGCTTCAACACGTGCACAAAAATATGAGTGCATCTGCTGTGCCTGCTGAAATAAATACAATTCATACAGCTACATAAACCAAATTGTCCGTATAAAGCCATATAGGAGCAATTGGAAAAAAAAACATACAAACAAACAAACAAAAAAAACAGGTAATGTCCTACTCATTTATTCTGTAGAATAAATTTGCACATTTTACTCACCTGTGCAACATCTGAAACATTGACTATTTTCTTAGACTGTGCCACAAATCCAAGAACTCCAGTATCTAAAGGAAACACAATCTCACAATCTGGGGATACCAAACAGTCCTCCAAGGTGGAATCTTTGTTAACATTAAAAAGTCTGGTGGCAAGTTCAGCAGTACCATTCCTCATGCGATACATGAAGAGACTCATACGGTCTGCCTGGATAATAAAAGACAACTTCTTGAGTACACTGAAGACACATCTTTCAGCATTGAGGTTTTCCTGAAAGCCCCTAATGAGGTCAAACACAATCTCACTCTCCTCCACACTGGACATAGAGTGATAATGGGAGAAATCAACATTTGTCTTGTTGGTGCTGAGGAGGTCAGATATGATCCCAGGCCTGAATTTAAGGTCATAGTATTCTTTAGCAAAGACAGGATTTGTATCCAGAAATTTCTCCACTGCCTCCTCCGACAACCCACTCATGATGAGAATTGTTCCTTCAACTCAATGGAAATCACACTGCACTTTAACCAGGAAATGCCTCTGAATCCAACTGAAACAGAAAATTACAATTAGGTAGGGGTGAAAAATTCAAAAACCCAGGGAGATCCAGGAATCCCCTGGGTCTTTCTCCTTCAGGGGACGGAAGGAGAAATTGTTCTCATGCCATCTTCTTTCTCTGAGCTCTAAGCCTGATTTGGAACAATGCGTGTAAGATGATTCTTAGCAAGGCAAGCATTATTCCACTAATAGTGAAGGTGAAATGAGGATTAACCTCATCATTTTAAATGGTCACATGACATCTCTGTAATCCACTACCCAATCAAGTTAAAGGCCGCAGGCCATTGCCAATGATACTGTAGCCAGTGCAGATGGCAGATTAAGAAACTGTAAAGAAAGAGAGCGTCGTGTTTACAAGATGACAGTAGATAATACTTTGCACATAATGCATTATGCTGTTAAAGGCTTACACTAACATTATCTTTAAAGGCCTATTTAAAGGGAGGTTTGAGTACCTTTGGTATTCATAGATAGATATTAACCCCTTTCAATACCACACCACAGCTTAATGATGTGCAAATTAACAACTCTCTTAAGTTAAAAGGAAGAAAATAGGCACAGATAGAAAGAAAATGACTCCATACCATGTGCAGGTGCAATTCCGTTATGGCTCAGATTTGCAAAGGTTTCTTAAAGTAAGGTTTAACTACTTACAAGGGCAGAAAAAAACAAACTAAATTATAAAACATGCTACGGAATATGCTAGCGCTATATAAATACCAGTAATAATAATAATAATGATATCCAAAACATGGTTTGGATACTGCTACAAATAGCTTATTATTCAGCTTTTCCCTCTCAGCTCTCTGTATATATCCTATCCTCGTGCTGGTCAGGCTCTGCCCCAGAGCACTAAAGTATTTGAAGAGTGTAATTATGAGTAGATTAGCTATGCTCTCAATGATGAGGGAGCTGAAAGTCCATGAATTTGTGTGAACTTAATTTTTGAGTACATGAGGACAGATTCTTGAATGCACAAGGAGTGATGATTCCAGAGACAGGAAATAGAGGCGATGGATGGGAAGATATGGAAGACATGAATGAGAGTTGGAGTCCTTGGAAAAGAAGTTTTTTTAGGGAAATGAGGGGAAGGCTAAACACCAGAAACTGAGACTGAAAGGTAGATGCAGATACAGAGACAGGGACAGAGTAAAAGAGAAAGATAACAGCAAAGGACAAAATAGGAGAATTAGAAATGAATGCATACTGTGAATAGGCAGGACCTTCCTAGACAAAAAAGGAATCATTTGGAAGTATAGAGTTGAAATCTGGTTTATGATGCTCCCAATGGTGTGTGCATCTACCACTAAGAGGTATATAGAGACTATTAAGAAGAAGTGAATGTTAGTAATTATCGCTAGTGCCTAATTTGAATGTGTTGGAGGACTTACTGTTGCTGGCAATATTAGATTGTCCTCTATAGTGTTGAGAGGAAGTGTGTTATGATCTTGTCTTTCCTTACTTCCTGACTGTCTCTCTTGCATTGCAGCCATTTTGCCTTTGATAGGTAAGAAACGTTTTTCTGTTCCTGTTTTAGCAAACCACTGACTAGGAATTCCTAATTACTTAGCTTCAAATATGTCCCATGCTATTACTTTTATTTGCTCCTGTGATAATAAACATCTGCTAAATTTTAACATTTAGGACCTGCAAATTTTATGTAGGAACTATGTCTAGTCTCACAAACTACTTGTTATCAACGTCCAAATGCAGTATGAACTTGTGAGACAGGATCTCTGGGATATAGTGGAAGAGTCCCCACCACCAGGCTACGCAGAAAGAATGGGAGATGTAGTACACAATATCTGGAGTGTTGAAGGTTGCTTACACCTGATCTAGAGAAACGCCTGATTCAAATGTCAAAATTAATCATTTATATCCTATTGGAAATAAATGTGACGAAGAAGACAAAGTGATTCTGATTTTATCAAAACTTCAAGAAAGATACAATTCACTAATATATGCACTAGAAACCAGAGAGACTTTCTCTGTAAAATGTGTTACATCAAGTCTAAAAAAGACACAGTAAGGAGAGTTGAAAATGCAGGATGTGGTAAAACACTGTCGCACAGGGTGCCATGGCAACAGGGGTCGCCATGCTGCCGACACAGCTCACACACTCCCTGGGTGACAGCGGTGACGGGTGCTCAGAGCACTCATATTCTGTAGCATGGAGTAGCTTGGCCACTCGGCACCTGGGTGGAAGATTTCATTATCCAGTGGGGGCGGAGCTAAGCTAGTGGCGGGGCGGTGCTAAGCCAGCGGCGAAGACAGAGCTAACTGAGGCCCGAATCTGCTGCCTGGTAAGTCCATGCTCACCCATATAATGCCCCAGTGCCTCTGCTCCCATATCTAAAGCCCCAAAGCCCCTGCTCCCACATCTAATGTTCCAGTGCCCCTGCTCTGCCATACCTAATGCCCCAGTGCCTCTGCTCCCATATCTAATGCCCCAGTGCCCCTGCTCTCCCATCTAATGCCCAAGTGCCCATGTTCTCCCATCTAAGTCCCCAGTGCCCTTGCACCCCATCTAATGCCCCAGTGCTCCTGCTCCCCCATCAACCCCAGTGCCCCTTGCTCTCCCCAGTGCCCCTTGCTCTCCCATCTACCTCAGTGCTTCTACCTACCCCAGTGTCCCTTGCTCTCCCATCTAATGCCCCAGTGCCCCTTCTCTCCTATTTAATGCCCCAGTGCCCCTGCTCTCCCATCTAATGCCACAGTGCCCTTACTCCCCCATCTAACGCTACAGTGCCCCAGCACCCATCTACCCCAGTGCCCCTGCTCCCCATCTAATGCTACAGTGCCCCTGCTTCCTATCTACCATAGTGCCCCTGCTCTCCATCTAGTGATATAATGCCCCTGCTCCCCACCTACCCCAGTGCGACTGCTCCCCATCTACCCCAGTGCCCCAGCTCACCATCTACTCCAGTACCCCTGCTCCCCTATCTACTGCTATAGTGCCCCTGCTGCCCCAGTGCCTCTGATCCCCATCTACTGCTATAGTGACCCTGTTCCCCATCTGCCCCAGTGCCCCTGATCCCCATCTACTGCTATAGTGCCCCTGCTCCCTATCTACCCCAGTGCTCCTGCTCCCCCATCGACTGCTATAGTGCCCCTGCTCCCTATCTACCTCAGGGCCCTTGCTCCCCATCTTCCCCAGTGCCCCTGCTTCCCCATCTAATGCTACAGTGCCCCTGCTCCCCCATCTACCACAGTGCCCCTGCTCTCCCATCTACCACAGTGCCCCTGCTTCCCCATCTAATGCTACAGTGCCCCTGCTCCCTCATCTACCACAGTGCCCCTGCTCTCCCATCTACCACAGTGCCACTGCTCTCCAATCTACCCCAGTGCCCTTGCTCCACCATCTATTACAGTGCGCCTGTTCCCCCATCTACTGCTATAGTGCCCCTGCTCCCCAATTGCTACAGTGCCCCTGATCCCCCATCTACTGCTACAGTGCTGAGTACCTATAACTTTGAGTGTGTCTGTGTCAGATTTGGCTGCCAGTACCTGTGTGTGATTGTTTGCCTGTACATGTGTGTGACTGATTGTAACTGTGTGTTTGACTACATACCTGTAACTATGTGTGTGACTATGTGCCTGTAACTGTGTGTGTGACTATGTGCCTGTTCCTGTGTGTGATTGTATGTCTGTACATGTGTGTGACTGACTGTAACTGTGTGTTTGACTATATACCTGTAACTGTGTGTGTGTGTGTGTGTGACTATGTGCCTGTAACTGTGTGTGTGTATATGCTTGTAACAGTGTGTGTGACTATGTGCTTGTAACTCTGTGTGTGACTATGTGCCTAGGACTCTGTGCATCTGACTGTGGGACTGTGTGTATGCAACTCTGCAAAAATGCACACCTGCATTCACACATGGGCCTACATACATATTTTTATCTGAATGAAATACCCATAACACTCAGCCAATAAACCCTGCACAAATATCACACACACACACTAAATACACCCATTACAAATATTGCACAAAGCCAACACATAGCATACATATCACACACAGCCATCACGTCTGTCACACACATGACACATGTAGCTTTTTTCTGAGCTCCTGACAATCAGAGCGTTTCCGCGGATTTCCACAGGAAATGTGAGTAAGTGCCTGAGCACATGAGACAGTTACTGATGGTCTGCACCCAGTGGATGCGCCGACCAGATTCCCTGCACACTGGACCACCTGAGATGAGCATACCCCCTCCATGCAAAGTAGCATCATGGAAGGGGGAATGAAAATTAATTTTTGTTTTTAAATAATTATTAATTTAATAAATGCAGAGAAGTAGCGAGCAATGAAGCTTTGACTGGCGAACAACCCTGCAATCAGTTAAAGACAGTTGATGTGAAGGGCCTTATCCACCGGAGTCCAGAGTCCTCCTGCCGACACGCCATTGCAAGCAGCGCCCCAGTCCAGACAACTGGCGTTTGAATATAGGACAAAGTCCGGCAGGGATCCGAATATTGCCATGCCGTTCCAGGCCTCCATGTGTCAAAGACACGGGACTTGTCTGAAAGACAGATGATTCAGTCATTTGAGACTGATGATCTAAGGTAGTGCACCTTCAGGTGTTGGAGAGCCCGATAGTGAAGATGGCTTGCATGGAGGATGACAGCAGTCCTATCATCTGGGCCAGATCCCTCAACATTGCCTCTGGGTTGCAGAGCAGGCATCTGATATTCTTCCTGATAGCGGATACCTTGGACATCCCAAGGCAGAGCACTGTCTGAAACAAATCCTCAACGAAACCCAGAAACTGGCAAGATAAGCGGCCTTCGGATCCAGATGGGAGAACCAGTCGCCCTTTCACAGCAGGTCTCTGAGGAGATGGATGCCCTCCATCTTGAAATGTCCTTAGACGACATACCTGTTGAGGGCACACAGATTGATCACAGGATGGAAATCTCCTGTTTTCTTCCTTACTAGGAATATATTGTTCAAGAGCGATGGGGGCCTGTCGCCTTTTCCACTGTACCTTTGACCAGAATGGATAGTATTTCTGAATGAACCAGGTCGGAAGCCTCCTTGTACAAACGTATCAACCGTGGAGCGGAGGCTTGTATCAGAGGTTTGACAAAATCGATCCGGAGTCCGGACACGGTTTGTAGAACCCATGGATCTCCAGTGATAACCTTCCACTGAGGAAAAAAGTAAGACAGTCTGCC